CTGCCATGGCGGCCGCGTCGTGCTGTTGTGTCGGCGTCGTCGTCCCGCCGGCCGCGTCGTGCTGCCGCGGCCGTTCCGTCGCGCTGCCGTGGCGCCGCGCTGTCGTGGCGTGGACGTCACGCCGTGGCGGCGTCATCGATGTCGAGCCGTGGCGGCGTGACGGCGCCGTCGACATCGGCCGTGGCGGCATTGTCGACGTCGAGCCGTGACGGCGTGATGGTGCCGTCGTGCTGCCAGCGCGCGTATGGCACAGCCGGAAGCGGCCAGCGCCCCGTTTTAGGCGCCGCCAGTCCTGACGCCCGCACGCTAGCCACGGGCATGATGCTGGACCACGCCCTCCCCCCCCCCCCCCCTTTTCCCCTGCATCCCCTCCTCCTTGTCACAGCCGACGCCTGACTCGTGAGGGTCTTCCCCATCGTCGCGGAGCTTTGCCACGCCGCCGAGAGGGCGGGCGCCGCTGCCGTCAACGCTGTCGTCGAAGCCGCCGCCGCCGCCGCTGTCACCGCTGGCCTGTTGCCGCCGCACGCCGCCGCCGCTGTCGTCACTGCCGCCGCTGCCGCCATCGCCATCTCCCGAGCCGTGGGGTTGGTCATGTCGGAGTACTCGTGGCTGCTGCTGGAAATTGGGGGTGCTAGGTTAGGGGGTGTGGGTGTGTGTGGGTTCTTCTACTACCAAGCATAGGGGGTGTGTTAAATTATATATGTTATATAATTGTAGGCTTGGTAGGCGTTACCGAAATTTACTGTAGAGGGTACAACATCCCTCCTTGTATCCCTCTCTCTTCTATTCTCGACCCCCTTTTCTCTCGTAACTTTCTCTCCTAGCTAAACCCTCACGCCATTTTATGGCTTCCTAGCTACCTAGCTTTCGTGACAGGTTTTCCATTGACAGCCATGAGTGGAGCGATGAAAAAGAAGCCGGCTCTGATTAGGAGGAAGAAAGCTTCATCTCTGGAAAGAAACTGGCTGAAGGAGGAACTGGTTAGACACGAGCGTGGTTTCAGGGGAGTGGTGAAAGTTGGAGGTGTCAGAACCGACCTACGCGACTTACGCTAGGTACTTTATCGTAAATCCTCAAATAGTAGAAAATACAAGCGCGAACTCCAAAAACGAGAGCGATGACTAACGAGAACTTTCGCCGTGAAAACCGGCGAAGAATGGCGAACGGACTAGTTGGCTAAGAAACTGGGAAGTCGGATGGAATTCACTGATATAAGTTTACCATGATACCCTCTGAGGGACAAATCCAAGCACAAAGGAATGAGGAGAGCAGGACTTGAGTGAGGGGGGTGGCTGTGGTGCTGGTGCTAGAGTTTTGTTTGGCAGAGATCGGTGGGGTTGGGTGAGTTCTGGTTGAGTGAGTTTTGCTTGGGTGAGGTTTGGCCCAGGCGTGAAATGCATATGGATTTGAGAAAGGTGGGCGAAAAATGGTGTAAGGGCTGGCTGCGCGGCGGTCTCTGGGGCGAATTGAATTGTGTGCGAAACGCATTGGATTTCGCACGCCGCAGCGTACCCATTGTCAAACATATATTGTATGTTTCTGTAGACTATAGGGTTGTGCCTTAGGGAGTACAACCCATTACTGTAGGTTATATTCTCTTGTATGCCTTGTTCTAGACATTCTTTCACTTGAACATGGTATCATGAGTAGGTAGGTCCCATCCCCCCCCCCCCCCCCCCACCTAGCGCTTCCGCCCTAGGTCCTAGCCGCCTCGTCGCCCCGTGGCCCGTCACCTAGCGGCCCCGCGGCCCCGTCACCTAGCGGCCCCGCGGCCTCGTCCCCTAGCAGCCCCGCGGCCCCGTCACCTCGCGGCCCCGCGGCCCCGTCACCTAGCGGCCCCGTGGCCCCGTCCCCTAGCGGCCCTGCGGCCCCGTCACCTCGAGGCCCTGCGACCCCGTCCCCTAGCGGCCCCGCGGCCGCGTCCCCTAGCGGCCCTGCGGCCCCGTCACCTAGCGGCCCCACAGCCTCGTCCCCTAGCGGCCCCGCGGCCCCGCGGCCCCGTCCCCTAGCGGCCCCGCGGCCCTGTCCCCTAGCGGCCTCGCGGCCCCGTCACCTAGCGGCCCCGCGGCCCCGTCCCGTAGCGGCCCCGCGGCCCCGTCACCTTGCGGACCCGTAGCCCCGTCACCTTGCGGCCCCGCGACCCCATCACCTCGTGGCTCCCCCTCCTAGCCGCCCCCCCCCCCCCACACCCAGCCGGCCCCGCCTCCTAGGCGGCCTCGTCGCCCAGCCGGCCCCGTCTCCCTGCCGGCCCCGCCTCTTTGCCGGCCGCGTCGCCTTGCTGCCCGCGGCCCCGTCTTCTAGATGCCTCGCCGCCGTCCTCGGCCCCTCTGCAACGCGCTGCACCGCCCAGCACCGCTCTGCATCGTTCTGCACCGCACTGCATCGCCCTGCACCGCACTGCACTGCACCCTACCGTACTGCACCTCCCTCCACCGCACAGTACCGCACTGCACCGCACATCACCGCTTTCCGCCGTGCTCTCTTGCACAGTATTGACTTTCTCCTGCTGCTACAACCATGATGGCGGACTCGGTCCTGTGTTTTGATGCTGAGGGGCAGCCGATTGAGTTCGACTCATGGCTCATCGACCTCCAGCGACATCTGACTACACTGAGGCCACCTCGGGGCCCTGGGCCTCTCAGTGAATAGTTGCCATAGAGCAGGAGATGGCATCTTGGAGATCCACCGGTACCTTCGTCGACGCAGTTCCCCCACCTGGGGTGAACGTAATCGATGGCCGGTGGCTATTCAAGGTAAAGCGCCCCCCTGGAGAGCCGCCTGTCTTCAAGGCGCGCTACGTCGCTCGAGGCTTCAGTCTGCGTGAGGGGGTGGACTTCTTTCAGACCTTCGCCCCGACCCCGAAGATGACCATTCTTCGGGCGCTGCTACACGTAGCAGCACAGCGTGACTACGAGCTGCACTCCTTTGACTTCTCCACAGCTTTCCTCTAGGGCAGTCTACACAAGCAGGCCTACCTGCGCCGCCCCCAGGGCTTCTCCGCTACCTTCCCCCTTGGCACCGAGTGGCTCCTCCGGCGCCCCATCTACGGCTTGCAACAGGCGCCTCGTGAGTGGCACGACACGCTGCGTGCTATACTTGCTGACTTGCAGTTCTTCCTTTCATTTGCAAACCCCTCGCTCGTTGTCCGTTCCGGCCAGACTCCGTCCTACATCCTTGTCTACGTAGACGACCTGGTCTTTGCTACTGCAGACAGATACGCACTGGCCGCCGTGAAGGCCGAGCTGCTGAGGAGACACACCTGCACTGACCTAGGAGAGCTGCGCCGCTACCTTGGCTTGCAGATCCCCAGGGGCAGAGCAGCGCGCACTATCACTCTGTCACAGTCACACTTGGTGCACCAGGTCCTTCAGAGGTTCAGCCTTCAGTTCTCTTTCGCATAGCCCACCCCTCTGTCAGTAGACGACAGACTCTCTGCCCCAAACCCTGAAGAGGCTGTATAGCCTAGTGGTCCCTACTCAGAGCTGGTGGGTTGCCTCATGTACCTGATGACTTACACTCGTCCAGATCTCGCATACCCTCTCAGCATCCTGGCTCGCTTTGTGGCCCCAGGCAGACACCGACCACAGCACTGGTCGGCAGCTACGAGGGTTTTACGTTATTTAGCAAGTACATCGGGCATGGGGCTAGTGCTAGGAGGACAGAGACCAGTGGTCCTTACTGGACACACAGACGCTTCTTGGGCAAACGACGCCGAGACTCTGAGGTCCTCACAGGGCTACTCCTTTAGCCTTGGTGCAGGTGCCATCTCGTGGAGGTCCACCCGTTCCTCGTCTGTTGCCCAGTCTAGCTCTGAGGCTAAGATCTACGCAGGTCCCATGGCGGCACAGGAGCTCCTCTGGCTGACCTTCTTGCTCACCGACTTGGGTGAGCGGCCTAGCTCTGCCCCGGTTCTGTATGCTGACAACAGGGCCATGATCCTCCTGTGTCAGGAGCCACGACTTGAGGGCAGAGCGAAGCACATCCAGCTGCGGTACTTCCTCCTGTGCGAGCTGCAGCAGCGTCGCCAGGCTCGTGTAGTACACTTGGCCTCAGGTGCCAACATAGCTGATATCTTTACTAAGGCGCTTGCGCCTAAAGATCATCAGCGGCACTGTGTACAGCTAGGTCTCGTTCCTGTAGCCTCTCACTTGCTATGACCTTGATTGTGTACAGACCTTTATATATATAACCATGACTGGCCTTGTGGCCTCTTCCCAATGGCTGGACTAGTAGTGCCACCATGGTCTTGCTCTTGCCTTGCGTGTACTTGTTTGACTGGTCTTTAGACCCCTGCCTCGGAGGTTGGACTAGTAGTGCCACCCTGAGCTGTTTCTCTCTCATCAAGCACTGCCCCTATCTAGTATAGGGGGTGTGTCAAACATATTTTGTATATTTTGTAGACTATATAGGGTTGTGCCTTAGAGAGTACAACCCATTAGGTTACTGTAATCCCCCGTATATAACACTCTATGGTGTATATAAAAATTCACTAAAAAAATGATTGGGTCTTAACAGTGGCCAGGAAAAATATAGTACCCATGTGTTATGTAAAATGCAATTTGAATTTGAGTGTTTCAGGCCATCTGTGTTCAAAAATGCGCGGAGCGACTGTTAGCGAGGTACAGCATCCGCTAAGACGAAACTCATGAACCAATCGTCGTTGGCCAATCCCTGCTGAGTTGTGCAGCACCTGCAACCGTTATGATCGCGACAGAACCCGCGACTTCGACGGGAGGATTTCGCTCGGGTGAATTCTGACCGTCAAATCACAATTGAATCCGCGACTTCGACGGTCGAAATCCTCCCGAGTCTCGACCTTTGCTGACGTTTCGATTTCGCGCTGCAACTTGTGTTGATGTTTCTGCCCGTTTTTTCGCTGCTAATGGTAGTTGACATAGCGTTTTTCATCCTGTTCGTTTTTTTTTCTCAATCGAGCTGAGCTTGAAAAACTACGAAATACTGTTCTTTGCTGCATAAAACGAGGGGGGTGTTATGTAAAACGCAGCCCCCGAAAAGCGGGTGCTCTCCTAAATTCACCCTATCATAAGCTCTCCCCCGCATAAACCACCCGCGGAGTGACTATTTCGGCGGGTGTTATATACGGGGGATTACGGTATATTCCCTTGTATGCCTTGTTCTAGACATTTTTTCACTTGAACACCCATGACTGTATCTCGTGATAGTTCTCATGCAAAGCCAGATACCTGAACATAAAGAAGCCTATGCCCTAAACTATTACTAGGTATGATGGTGGTGGGAGGACCATGGGATGAGGAGGTGAAACTATTACTGTGTGCGCGTGCACCTTTTTGTCAGACGCACCTCATGTCAGACTCGCTCCACGCGGGATCTAACCGCATCGAACCATGTGATACAAACTCAAGCACATGAGTCTGACCTGAGGTGAGTCTGACAGAAGGTATCAAAGTCAAAGGTCTGATGCTGGCCAGCGTTAATGCTGCAAACTGTGTGGCTGCGGTTGAGAAGCCAAGACAGACCCTGACTCAAGTGAAGATGCAGAGCTGCACGGTCCAGCAGGGATACTGGAGAGCGAGCAGACCCAGGTGATGCACATGAGGAAGTGAGGGCGTAGGCAGCAACGAGCTACGTTCTGTCGAGTAAGCTGCTGCATTTATTGGAGAATTCCAAGACATTGAGTCGGGAAATATCTCTGTCGTGGTTGGAGGGGAGAGGGCTGCCGAGCACCACCTGGCGCCAGTCCACAGGTGGGAAGGGGCACAGCTCCGGCAGCAGCACGCTCAGGCTCACTCCGCGCTGGTGCCTGGATGCGTCAGAGCCCCGCGCTGAATGTGATGGGCGACCAGGTAGGGAATCTGAGGGGGGACCTGCCACCAGCCTGCTACCAGTAGGCTGAGCTCTTTCTTTGATGTTTGCTGCCGTTTCTAAATCATTGTCGCGTGCCTCACTTGCCCGTGTTGCCCCGTCTCTGCTGTCGTCTGCATCACATCCAATGTGCATCAAGTCGCTGCAGCTGAGGTTTCGCGGATGATGATGGCGGAGGCTTTCCGCGGACCAGCTAAGGCTGCGCTGATGCCGCTCCGCCGCCAGCACTGCCACCGCTTGCGAATCCGGGTGGCGGTAGCTCTGGCTGCGCCACTCCGCCACCTCGCGCGCGAGCTCCGCGCTGGCCTCGCGCACCACATGGCGCAGGCGGCGGCGGCGCAACTCGTTCTCGCTGCGGATCATGCGGTGGTTGGCGGAACCGGCAGCGGCGACGACTAAGCCCTGCTGCGCCAGCCGAGCGAGCTCCTCGCGTTGAACGAAGCGCCAGTCAATAGCGGGGATGGGGCACACAGCAGCGTCTTCGTCCATCGTAACGACGCGTCGGCACGAACCGTCCAACGATTCTGGACTCTGGACTCCGGGCTCTTCGTATGGCGACCATGTGCAGAATCGTGAGGCCACGTCACCTTATTACTACGGGTTACTTGTGTGTAGTGTAGGTAGCACTTCACGCGGTCAGTGCTAATGCCTCTCCAGCCAACTATCGCTCTAGCCGAGATCAGTCGAGGCTAGTTACGCAGTCCAAGATCGGCTGAGAGATCCAATCCATCGATCGACATATAGGTGACGAGCGAGCCTCCGTGCTGGAGCCATGAATGGCGGCCCATCCGATCCGCTGCGACTGACTTTGAATGGCGATATGCAGCGCACGAGGGTGAGAAGTGAGACAGCCTCTTGAAGAGCTCGAGGAGAGAGACGGGCTGTCGCGGATGGTATGGTCGCCATTCCCATTCATGGTCGCTGCTTTAGCCAGACGCGGTCGCAGGAATGTGGCCTTCCTGCGACGCGTTACGCGGAAGCTCCGAGCCATTGCAAGGAGGTCGGAACTTGCGCGTTAAAAGGAGTGAACAGATACTGTACACGCCGGCAAAGCTTTCAATGGGACGGCTAGTTTGGCAGCGCACGACGGAATCTCAAGCTTCTTATTGGGCCGCTCGAAAAGCCTCGCACCGCACATTCATTCCCCGTGTCACCGATTCAGAAAGTTGGGCGACAGTCACAGGTTCCGCTCAGATCTGACAACTACGATCCGAGAACGTCCAGTAAGGCAAAGCAAACACGAAGCGGCAGGGAAGCCTTCACTGGGGAGACAGCAAATAACGCGCACAACGGGTCGCTGTAAGCGCGTAAGGGATCTGGCTCGTCAAGCTGGCGCAACACACGCACCCGGGCGGGAAAATATAGAGGTTGGGAGCTAGTACATAGTCGCCAGGCTTGTACCACAGGTCTGCTTACCTGGCGACTAAGAGGCGACGAAAGGGTGGGTGTCGCCCCAGGCGAGGCCTGTTGCAGCAAGAATCCCCGCCACGCTCTGCTGCGATTGTGTATTATGCGAGCACCAATAACAGGTTACACTCCATCCTGTATGATTCCTGTATGATTCCAGCACACATGCTAAAATACGCCTAGAGTAATGAACTTGTACCCTTGAAGTTGGTTCTGCATGGCGAACGTTGGCATCATTGATCGTTGGTGCTGACTGGTTGCGAAGAGCGGAAACAATCGGGTAACTGAACCCGTGATCCACTTCAGTTACAAACGCTCTCTCGTCCAGAGCCCAAGCCTAACCAAGCCGAACAGCGGGCTTTCCTTTTCCGGACTCACAGCAGCAGCCTATCCACCCTTACTCTCTCCCATTACTTTCTCACAGATTCAGCGGTTATCCCAAGGTGGCGAGCCGCGGACTGCTAGCACGCCTCTCGGGGTTAGGTCTCCTGCGCGTTAACTCCTCTAAGCCGTCGAATCCCTTCCCTCGCCGGTTCGTTCGCGAAACCCGTCCCCGAGCGATCATGCAAGCAGCGGCAGCCGCAGGATCCGCGCTCAAGGGCGTCGCTGGTCTCACACAGCCGCCTACGACCGTCGGCTCGCCCGGTGGCAGCAAATCGACGGCTGGAAGTGCAGCGTCTGCCATCGTCGCATCTGGAGGACCCGTTTCTAGTGCTGTCGCGAGCCTAGGGATCGGATCTAGCCCTGCGATCGGATCTGCTGCTAGCTCGATCCGCTGCTTCTCGTCCGGCGCCAACACGCAGGTCAGTCCCCTCGCGGGTCACTTCAGACGTTTCGTGTACTTACTTCCACATTACTCCCTTTCGCAGTAGCTCAACCTGACAGCGTAGAGAAACCATGTCAGGCGAGATTCAGGCTGCTCCTAGACTTTCTATAGGCTCGTTATCGGCTATGCTGTTCACTGAGGAAGGTAAATATGTATGTCATTTCCCGTAACTTCCTTACCAGCAAATGACTGAGGAGGCTGCAGCGAGCGAGGCCGCTGCTGCGGCCGCCGATGGCGCGGTAGCGGGTTTGGCTATGGCGAGCAAGGATGCGGCTGTAGCGGAGGGCGAGGAGGAGAAGCCGCAGGAGATCTTCCTCGCGGATTACAAGCCGCCGTCGTACCTCTTCGACAAGGTACGACTCGTGGACCCACATCGCGTCTGCACTGGCCAGTGTAACTTCGAGGAACCCTTCCGATTTATTCCTGAGACGTCGTGTTGTGCGAGCCGTTCCCCATTCTCTTTCGTCGACCGTCTAGGGCGCGCTGAGGAATCTTATGCTCCTTGGGGCTTGTGGTTCAGGTCTCTCTGGGGTTCCATCAGGATTCGTTATTCTCTGTATCCCGTGTGGTGCAGGTGTCGCTGGATTTCGATCTGCACGACGACTACACCGTCGTCAAGTCGACCATCGCCGTTCTCGCCAATGACAAGGGGGCCAAGCCAGGTGAGTGAGCACCTAGTTGCTGGTCATATGGTAGCGGCCGGTCCTTGGTTGGGTGGGTGTACTGTACAGTGTGGGGCCTGTCGTTCGTTGGGTCGTCTGATGAGTCGTCATCGCCCGTGCGTCGTGTGTCGGGGTGGTGCTTCCGTTGTCCTGAACTTCATTTCCGTTGTCTCTGCGTTTGAACTTCATTTCCGTTGTCTCTGCGTTTGAACTTCAGAGGACGGGTCTGCACCCCTTGTGTTGGACGGCCACGATCTGGAGCTCGTGTCTCTGCAGATCAACGGATGTGATGTGCTTGTAAGTTCAGAGGCTGTACGGAAAGAAGAGGGTGCAGAGCAGACTGACCTGCATCACGGGCGTGGAATGACATTCGTGAAGGATGCGGTGTGACTTGCAAGATGGTTCAGAGTAACATTCATGGATGCGTTACATGGAGGTGTTACATGTGTTCTGACACTTTCCCACCAGTAAAGTTGGATTTGCTTCTATGATGCTTTCCGGTTTCATTGCCTGGCACCAATGGCAGGCGGAGGAGTACGTGAAGACGTCCAAGAAGCTCACGCTGCTGTCCCCGCCCGCAGCGCCCTTCACGCTCTCCATCGTCACTCGCATCAACCCCGCTGCCAACACCTCCCTCGAGGTACCCCCACTCGTCCCACCCTGTGTGTAGGCGACATTCAGCATTCAGCATTCAGCCAGCTCGTGGTGCATTTCGTTTCCCGTCCCGACTTGCTTCTCGTCCACGTCTCCAGCACCGCGCCTCCTCCTCACTCACTTGTGCTCGTGTGATCACCATCCGAGTACTTAGGTTAGGTTGCCTGAGCGGGCGTGTGCTTTCCAACGGTGTGAATTGTCCCGTCTGCATTCATTTGGCACTGTGCCGCGCCACGTGGTCCAGCCTCACCTGTTGTCTCCATCCGCGTGGCCCCCATCTGCACACACATGCGGTGCTCTGACCGCCTGACTGCACGGTCGGTACTGCTCCAGCAGCAACTTCTGCACGCAGTGCGAGGCGGAGGGCTTCCACCGTGTGCTGCACCACCAATCCCCCATCTCACCTGTTGCCTCTGTCTGCGTGTCCCCCATGTGCTCACACACTCTGTCAACCGACACCAGGGTCTGTACCGCTCGAGCGGCAACTTCTGCACGCAGTGCGAGGCGGAGGGCTTCCGCCGCATCACGTACTACCAGGACCGGCCGGACGTGATGTCCAGGTTCACCGTACGCATGGAGGCGGACAAGGCCGCGTGCCCCGTGCTGCTGTCAAATGGCAACCAGATCGAGACCGGGGATGTGGGCGGATCGGAGTCTGGGAGGCACTATGCGGTGTGGGAGGACCCGTGGCCGAAGCCGAGCTATCTGTTTGCGCTGGTGGCGGGGAAGCTGGTGTGCTGCGAGGACAAGTTCACCACGTGCAGCGGGCGCGAGGTGGCGCTGCGGATCTGGGTGAATGCGGGCGACGAGGGGCGCACCGCGCATGCCATGAAGTCGCTCAAGGAGTCGTTCCGATGGGACGAGGAGGTGAGAGGAGGGAGGGGAGTACATGGGGATTGCTTGAAGCGGAAGGGCCTTTTTTTTTTCTTTCCAATGCTGTGCAGAGCCATGGTTTTCTGCTGTTGGTGTGCAATGTGTTCTTTCTGGTTTTTGCTTGCGGTGGCGTCCTCCTGTGTTCAGGTGTTTGGCCGGGAGTATGACCTGGACCTTTTCAATGTTGTCGCGGTGAGTGCTGACTGTTCCCTGGGGGAGTACGCACGTGTGAGGTCCTGTTGCCAAGTTGTGTTGCAAAGCCGTCTGAAGGTCTACCTCTTAGCCTAGGGCGTCTCTTGCCTCTCCCAGTGCGTCTTCCTTCCGGATTGACTGCCACGGCTCTTATGCTCGCTTATTCTCACGCGCGTGTACATCCCCCTCCCCCCGGTCCCCTCCGTGTCCTTCCATTCCACCTCCCCCCTTTCCTCTCTCTCCCTCGGCCCCCTCTTTGCTTCCCGCCAGGTGCCTGATTTCAACATGGGAGCGATGGAGAACAAGAGTCTCAACGTGAGTGCCCCCACTCTTTCATCCTTCACACATATCTCTTTCATCTACCACCACACCAACCTGTAGTACAATCACGCGGTCCATGATGCCGTTCACATCCTAGCTCTGCACCGTGATCTGCCCCACCGCTTGTATGCCTCGCACGCTATCGTCACATCCACGTCCGCTGCGTACCCGGTCTTGATTTTTTCGGCCATTTAAAACGGTCCAGGGGTGCGTTTTTCGGTTGGTGCAAATCAACGATCGCTAAATACAGTCGTATGTTTAAAGGCAGGCAATTTTCGGGGTAAGGGAAATATTGTAAACAGATTGTAATCACTTTCGGGTAGCCAGTGAGTGGACCGGCGGTCCAGTGAGTGCTCCGCGGTCCAGTGAGTGAACCGGAGGTCCAGTGAGTTCTCCGGCGGTCCAGTGAGTGGACCTTCGGTCCAGGGAGTGATCCGGTGGTCCAGTGAGTGGCCTGGCGGTCCAGTGAGTGGCCCGGCAGTCCAGTGAGTGGACCTTCGGTCCAGCGAGTGGTCCGGTGGTCCAGTGAGTGGCCCGGCGGTCCAGTGAGGGGACCGGCGGGGACATGATATCTGTCTGCTGCTTGTTGCGTTCTCCCCTGCAAGTCATCCGTCCAAGTCTCTCTCATGTCTCTTCCTTCCCCTGGCTCCTATTCCCTGCAGATCTTCAACTCTCGCCTCGTGCTGGCCTCGCCAGAGACTGCCACGGATGGGGACTATGCTGCCATTGAGGGGGTCATTGCCCACGAGGTGCGCTGTACCTGGCCTGACGCTCTGTTGCTCCCTCCACCCGCTCCTCTGTCGCCTTGTGCTCTTCTGTTCGATCACCAGCTTTCCCTTTTGTCCTGCACCACGGCCTGCTGTGCTGTGCTCCACCTGTTGTGCATGGTTCTTCAGCGACTCTGGTGCTTCATCCAGACTCCTTAATGTGCGTCTGTGTGTGTGTTCGTGTATTTTTATGCGGGTTTGTGTGGATCGTTGTGTGTGAGGGGCGGGGGATGGGGTGTGTGTGTGTGTGTGTGTGTGTGTGTGTGTGTGTGTCCGTGTGTGTGTGCGCATGTGTCCATTGCCCCTTGCCGCTCTGTACACGCGCCCACTGGCCTCAATGCCATCAGTACTTCCACAACTGGACGGGCAACAGGTGAGCTTCTTGCCACACTGGCACATTTTAGCTCTCTGTCTTGCAACCATGCTGGCCCGCATAAACAGGTGGCACGTGCAGTCTCAAATCTCTGCCTTGTCAAGCTTTCAGGGCGCGCCGTGCCTTGACATTTGCTTTTGAGGCGCCTCAAAAGCATTAAGGGCGCGCCGTGCCTTGACATGTCCCCGCATGCTCACATGTCCTGCCCATGGTCTCTGGCCCTTGCGCTCTCAACTCTTGCACGCCCCTCCATGCCGCTATCCACTCCCCTGCCTCTCGTCTCCCACTCTGCGCCCCCCTCCTCTTCTCCCTCTCCCCCGCCCCCTGCCAGGGTCACCTGCCGCGACTGGTTCCAGCTGACTCTCAAGGAGGGGCTCACTGTGTTCCGCGACCAGGTGAGGGGTTGAAATGGATAGCGTGGGGTGGTGGTGGGTGAGCTGAGCATGGAGAGAGCTGACTTGAAATGCATGGGGAGTGCTGTGAGGTGAAGAGGCAGCGTACCTGCGCCCGTACTACTAAGCCACTACAAGGATCCCTGTGAGACCAAAGGAGTCTGATCAAGGGGGGTGAGACCAAGAGGGGTGAGACCTAGGGGGATGAGACCTAGGGGGGTGAGTCCAATGGGGAGTGAGACCTAGGGGGGTGAGTCCAATGGGGAGTGAGACCTAGGGGGGTGAGTCCAATGGGGAGTGAGACCAGGTGTTCCTACCTTGATTACCCTACAAGGCTTCTTACGCGCCTGCAAGTGCTCCTATGCCGCTCCAAGCTTACCCACGTTCCTACGACCGTCCCTACACTGTCGCCCATCCCAGGGTGCAAGTGCCGTGCTGTGAAGCGCATCATCCCATTTCACCCCATCAGCCGAGAGCATCATCCCATCTGCCCAACGCTTCTCCCTCATCCCATCTCATCTCATCATCCCATGTCATCCCATCCATGCCCCCAGGAGTTCTCGTCCGACATGAACTGCCGCGCCGTGGAGCGCATCGCCAATGTTGCTGTGCTGCGCGCCCGCCAGTTCTCAGAGGTACGCGCTGCATGCTCGGCAATTCTCTTCAGTTTGGTTCAGCATGTCAAAGATTTATGTTTGTAGGGAGTTCAGCAGAGGGCTTGGCATGGGTGTTCTTCAGCGCTTGAGTCGGCATCTAAGTCATTTAACACTCAGGCGTGTGTCCGTGCCTCTATCTGCTGTCTTTTTTGCCCCCTTTACAGGATGCAGGGCCCATGGCACACCCTGTTCGCCCGAGCTCGTACATTAAGGTGAGCCCTGCTTTTGAAAAACCGCTTCTCAAGTACAATGTTTTCCCTGTGTGGCATGTGCAGTATGCTCCTTCCTGCTGGCTGCAGTATCCTGTTTCGTGTATTCCCAGTAGGCACGCTTCGCCGATACTGCCTTTCCCGTAGCGCTCCATCGAGTCCTAAACGCTTTGGTTGTCTCCCCGTGCCTGTCCTGTTTTGCCATTCTGAACTCTTTCGGCAGATGGATAACTTCTATACAGGTGCGCACTCATGCTCGTGCTCTTGTGCGCTTTTTGTGTTTTCTAGCTCGCCCCCTCTATCTTGTCCACCTGTTTTCACACACCCCCCTTCACCGTCTCATTCCCGGGCCTGCTCCGTACCATCCCTCTGCTGCTGTGTGACTGTGTTGATTCGTGGCAATCTAAGTTGGAATATACGCGTATCACGTTTTATACAAAAGCGTTTATACGAGAGCGTATAAACACAATACGCTTAGGAGAAGGGGGTCGGGAACACACAGAATACGGTGGCCCGGGTAGGGGATTTTTTTTTCCGGGCAGGTGGAAGTGCGGGTTGCCTCAGCAGATGGGGGAGAGGGTGATGCTGTAGGGCTGGAAGTCATGGTGGCACGCAAGCTGCGGTAGAAAGGGAACAGCAAGAATGATTATCGAATGTTGAATGGCAGTAATTTATGCTAGGAGAGCTGACTCTGTTTGAGGCCAACTCGTCTCAAGGAGGAGTTGGGAGGGATTGGGAAGTGACGAGGTGGAGAGGGGTGGACAGAGGTTCGAAGGGGGGGTTGGCGGGGCTAGGGTTCGAAATTTGAACTCGAAGTTGAGTCCGCGCGATGTGCGAAGGCGAGATTTTTTTTCGCCAAATCGCAAAATCTTGCAAATTATTGGGTTTTTTGTTTCTGGTCAGCCTGTGCGTATTTCGGCGTATCTAGACCAAAAACACAGCGTACGTATTTTCTATGCGTTTAACGCAATATGCAATCAAAAGTGAGCGTTTTTTCCAACTTAGGTGGCAATCACCCTGACACCTTATGCTTACTAAAAAATCACTCAAAATGGTTTACCTCCCATTCATTCCCGCATGAATCAACCCTGGGCCGCACTCCTGCCACTTGGCAACACACCAGTCACCGTTTATGAGAAGGTGATCCTCCCAACCCCTCCCCTCCTTCCCCCTCCCCCACTTCCCACCTCCCCCCTGTTCTCCTCCCTTTCCTGCCTTCTCCATCTCCCCCTCCCACCCCCCCTCCCTCCATCATTTCTCTCTCCATTCCACCTTTCCGAGTTTTGTGTGACTTAGTCTTGGTCCATGGCCCAGAGGCCGGAACCCTGCATGCTGATGTATGTGTCTGCTTGTACTGCTGTGGCAAGTACCCGCTCATCTTAATCAGCCTGCTCTCGATTTTTGTTCACTTCTTGCATGCTGTGCCATTGCATGGCATTGCCCATCAACGCACGTGGCGTTGCTCGTGGTTGCACGTGGCATGGTCCATGGTTGCACGTGGCCTGGTCCATGGTTGCACATGGCATGGTCCATGGTTGCACGTGGCATGGTCCATGGTTGCACGTGGCCTGGTCCATGGTTGCACGTGGCATGGTCCATGGTTGCACGTGGCCTGGTCCATGGTTGCACGTGGCATGGTCCATGGTTGCACGTGGCCTGGTCCATGGTTGCACGTGGCATGGTCCATGGTTGCACGTGGCATGGCATTGCGTACGGCTGCACATGACCCATGACACATGGCCTATGGCAGGGAGCGGAGGTGGTGAAGATGTATCAGACGCTGCTCGGCAAGGACGGCTTCAGGAAGGTCAGTCCGGCGCCACACCCCTTGCTTGCACTGTGCGCTCTGCCATGCAATAGGGGGGGGGGGGGGGGGGTGGGAGTAATGGGGTGGCGGGAGTATTGGGGGGGAGAGCGGGAATTGGGGGGGGGGGGGGGGAGGGGGTGGGAGCATAGGCCTGCAACGACTAGTTTGAAAGTGCTTCAATCCACATGTGCCTGTCATGCATGCCCCTACCCGTGTGCACATCGCTCCCTCCGGCAGGGCATGGACCTGTACTTTGAGCACCATGACGGGCAGGCAGGCAGTGACATGCGGCAGCGACTTGCTTTGATGGCCGCATAACCTTCATGTGCCGTCCTTGCTTCCCCCCCCTGCATGCATGTCTCTCTCCTTCCCGGCAGGGCATGGATCTGTACTTTGAGCGCCATGACGGGCAGGCGGTGACGTGCGACGACTTCTTTGCCGCCATGGCGGATGCCAACAACGACAAGCTCGACGGCTTCAAGCCCTGGTACGCCGTTCTGCTTCCTTCTCGCCTGCTGCCTTTCTTTCTCATTCTCCTTTCAAGTTCTCCCTTCTTTCAATCCGACTGTCAGCATGCCCGTGCTGCCTGTGCTGTGCTGTGCTGTGGCATGGTCGTGCTCTCCCTCAGATAAATGCACAGGACTGCGAGCAGCAGCGCTCTTGGTGGTTTTCACATCGCTTCTTCCCTGCCATTATGGTTGTTCTGATTACCTGCTTGCAGGTTGAGCCAGGCCGGCACGCCGGTGGTGACAGTCACCTCGTCGTACAACGAGAAGGACCACACCTTCACCCTGCACTGCAAGTAAGCTGCAGCTTGCCGTCCTTGCGATGGCCTGAGCGTACTCTGCATTGAGGAAGGTTGCTTTTGGTGTTTAGATGGCACTGCTGTTAGTCCCACCCCTCTCTGCCCCCTTGCATATCCCCTTTGAAAACACGAAGGTCACCTGCACACAGCACAGAGCTGCGCTTTGCGTTCCTTGCTCCTGAACTCTGTCCCTTGCCCTGACTGCATGCTTGAGTTCCTGCTACCCCCCGTTAGTGCAGAAAGCTGCCGGTTCTCGTTCCCCTCGCCGTGGGGCTTGTGGTCTCCGACCCCTCTGCGAGGGGTGCACGCACACCCACACCTCTACCCCTTGCCCCGCCTGCCTGGGACGCCCAGGCAGAGCAGCAAGCAGCCGGTGCTCATGCCCCTGGCCGTGGGGTCCGTGGTCTCTGACCTCTCCGCCTATGCGCCCGCACGTGCTCACACGCCCCCATCCCCTGCCCCGCCTGCACCTCTGTCCCGTTTCCGCATGCAGGCAGGAGATCCCCGCCACCCCCGGGCAGAGCAGCAAGCAGCCGGTGCTCATCCCCCTGGCCGTGGGGCTGGTGGGGCCGGACGGCAAGGACATGCCTCTGCTGCACGTCTTCGATGGGGACACGCTCACGGACCTGGACGGGCCCACCACCACTGTGCTGCGATTCAACAAGGTATGGCGAGGGGAACGGTGGGGAAATGCCGGGGGAGCGGGGGAAGGGGATTTGTAGGCGGAATGTGATGGCCAGGACACGCCTCTGCTGTGCACGTGGTTGATGGGAGAACCTCACCGATCTTCCCACCACCCACTACCCACCGGCTACGGCCCACCACCGCACACCCACAACAGCCCACTGCCCACGACCCACCGCCCAGGAGAGTTCTCCACCGCCCAGGAGTTCTCTCCCGCCCAGGAGAGATCTCTCCCGCTCAGGAGAGTTCTCTCCCGCCCCAATGACTTCCCTCGCGCCTGGGAGACTTCTCTCCCGCCCGGGAGACTTCTCTCCCGCCTTGGAGACTTCCCTCCCGCCCTGGAGACTTCCCTCCCTCCCGGGAGACTTCCCTCCCGCCCCGCATCCCTCACTGCCCCATACCCTCCCTGCTGCTGCCTCCTGCTTTGAGTCAAGTCTAGTCAACCTGTGTTCCTTCCACCTCCCACTCCCTGTTTTACACCCCTGCACCCCTCTGCACCCCACCAGGCCCAGCAGGAATTCACCTTCACGGACGTGCCCCACCGCCCCGTGCCCTCGCTGCTGCGAGGGTTCAGCGCTCCCGTGCGCCTCAATGCTGACCTGGCGCACGCCGATTGGCTCTTCCTCCTTGCCAACGACTCTGATGAGTTCAACAGGTGTGCCTCCCACTTCTGATACCCGTTTCTAATGAACATCCACTCGATACAACCTTTGCTGAGTAATGTTGTGAACTTTTCTCTCCCCCTATATTTCTCTCTTTTTGTTTCCCCCTCACCACCACTGCAGGTGGGAGGCGTGCCAGGTGTTGGCGCGAGGCATGCTGCTGAGGCTGGTGGAGGACTATCGGAGTAACAAGCCGCTCCATATGGAGGATGACTTCACTGACGCCCTCGCCAAGATTCTTGATGACAAGTCCCTGGACAAGGTGCGACCAGGGGCCCAAGGTTTCAAAAATTTGGTGTGGGACAAGGTGTGAGCAGGGGCGCGTCATGGCCATTCACCATATCTGATCTCCATATCCATTCGCCACATCCATTCGCTAAAATCATTCGCCAAAAGCATTTGCCGAATCCATTCGCCAAAAGCATTCGTCGAAAGCATTTGTCAAAAGCATTCGCCAAAGCATTCGCCAAAACCATTCGCCAAAACCATTTGCCAAAACCATTCGCCAAAACCATTCGCCAAAACCATTCGCCAAAACCATTCGCCAAAACCATTCGCCAAAACCATTCGCCAAAACCATTCGCCAAAACCATTCGCCAAAAGCTTTCGCCAAAATCATTCGCCAAAACCATTCGCCAAAACCATTTGCCAAAACCATTCGCCAGAACCATTCGCCAAAACCATTCGCCAAAACCATTCGCCAAAACCATTCGCCAAAACCATTCGCCAAAACCATTTGCCAAAACCATTCGCCAAAACCATTCGCCAAAACCATTCGCCAAAACCATTCGCGTCATCTCCCTCCCCCCCTCCTCTCTCCACCCTGTTCCCCCTTTGCTGTTCGTGGATGCGCAGATGTTCATCGCTCGTGTCATCTCCCTGCCGGGCGAGAGTGAGATTGCGGACCTCATGACGCCGTTTGCTGACCCAGATGCCATCCACGCCGTCCGCAAGTTCTGCGTCAAGCAGATCGCCGCCCGCCTGCGACCAACGCTGGAGGCTCTGGTAGGGGGCTCTGGTAGGGGGCTCTGGTAGGGGGGCTCTGGTAGGGGGTTCTGGTAGGGGGCTCTGGTAGGGGGCTCTGGTAGGGGGCTCTGGTAGGGGGCTCTGGTAGGGGGCTCTGGTAGGGGGGCTCTGGTAGGGGGTTCTGGTAGGGGGCTCTGGTAGGGGGCTCTGGTAGGGGGCTCTGGTAGGGGGCTCTGGTAGGGGGCTCTGGTACGGGGTTCTGGTTGGGGGATCTGGTAGGGGGCTCTGGTAGGGGGCTCTGGTAGGGGGTTCTGGTTGGGGGATCTGGTAGGGGGTTCTCGTAGGGGGATCTGGTAGGGGGCTCTGCTAGGGGGTTCTGGTAGGGGGATCTGGTAGGGGGCTCTGCTAGGGGGTTCTGGTAGGGGGTTCTGGTAGGGAAATCGTGCTCACTGCACACCTGCAATCCTGGACTGTGTCATGGGCACTGCCCTACCCTCGCTGCTGGCTTGCACTGCTGGCTTGCACTGCTGAATTGCCCTGCTGACCTGCACTGCCATGGGCCATTAGGCAGCTGTAGATGCCTTCTTCCACACCTCGTTCCTTTCCTTGAGTTCTCCCGTGCCCTCCCTCCCGTGTTCTCGTTCAGTCCCGTTCTACTCCCAAACCCTTATCCCGCCTGGCTCTTGGTTCGCCCCGTGACTGCATTCTGTCCCATGCATCCACGCATCTCATGCCCCGTCCCTCCCAGGTGGAGAGCAACACAGCGCCGCAGGGAGAGGCGTACAGCCCTGACCATGCCAGCATGTCACGCCGCTCCCTCAAGAACGCTGCTCTCTGTGAGTCTTCCGTGGTGCTGGGCACCTCCGTGGTGCTCGTTGGTGCGGTGCACCTCCGTGGTGCTGGCGAAGGGCGCCCACCACCACCACCACCACCAAGGCGGCCACCGCCGTGCCAGATCGATCGTGCAAGGGAGTCTTACACTCTCACCCCGTTCCCTAACCCAACCTTCCCAGAGTACCTGGCGTCGCTGGACGATGGCTGCAGCATTGCACTTATGCCTCCCCTCCATCCCGTTTCCTCCGTCTCCTGGCCCACCCCACTCCACCAGTGTATCTCGCATCTTTGGACGACGAGTCCAGCCGTGCGCTTGCCCTGTCGGAGTTCAAGGCGGCCAGCAACATGACGGACCAGTTTGCTGCTCTGGCTGCGCTGTGCCTCAACCCTGGAGCTGCCAGGGAGGAAGCGCTGCAGGCGTTCTACGAGCAGTGGAAGCACGACGGGCTGGTGAGTGGAAACACGACTGGCTGGTGAGTGGAAGCACCACGGGCTGGTGAGTGGAAGCACCACGGGCTGCTGCGTTGATGCGAGGTGTTGGGCTGGTGGGTTTCTGAGAGGGGTTGGGCGGGATTGTGGAAGGAGTATGGGCTACTTGGTGGACGGGTGAGTGGGGTGGATGGATGACCTGAGCGTTGCTGAAACGATTCTTGATGTAGTGACGGTGCGCGAGGATGGGGTGGTCAGTCAGAGTTGGACGGAGGTTCTTGAACGGATGTGGGATCTTGAACGGATGTGGGATCTTGAACGGATGTGGGATCTTGAACGGATGTGGGATCTTGAACGGATGTGGGATCTGGAACGGATGTGGGAACTTGAACGGATGTGGGATCTTGGACGGATGTGGGATCTTGAACGGATGTGGGATCTTGAACGGATGTGGGATCTTGGACGGATGTGGGATCTTGAACGGATGTGGGATCTTGGACGGATGTGGGATCTTGAACGGATGTGGGATCTTGAACGGATGTGGGAACTTGAACGGATGTGGGATCTTGGACGGATGTGGGATCTTGAACGGATGTGGGATCTTGAACGGATGTGGGATCTTGCACGGATGTGGGATCTTGAACGGATGTGGGATCTTGAACGGATGTGGGATCTTGAACGGATGTGGGATCTTGAACGGATGTGGGATCTTGAACGGATGTGGGATCTTGAACGGATGTGGGATCTTGAACGGATGTGGGATCTTGAACGGATGTGGGATCTTGGACGGATGTGGGATCTTGAACGGATGTGGGATCTTGAACGGATGTGGGATCTTGAACGGATGTGGGATCTTGAACGGATGTGGGATCTTGGACGGATGTGGGATCTTGAACGGATGTGGGATCTTGAACGGATGTGGGATCTTGAACGGATGTGGGATCTTGAACGGATGTGGTATCTTGAACGGATGTGGGATCTTGGACGGATGTGGGATCTCGGACGGATGTGGGATCTTGAACGGATGTGGGATCTTGAACGGATGTGGGATCTTGAACGGATGTGGGATCTTGAACGGATGTGGGATCTTGAACGGATGTGGGATCTTGAACGGATGTGGGATCTTGGACGGGTGAGTGGGGTGGATGGATGACCTGAGCGTTGCTGAAACGATTCTTGATGTAGTGACGGTGCGCGAGGATGGGGTGGTCAGTCAGAGTTGGACGGAGGTTCTTGAACGGATGTGGGATCTTGAACGGATGGGGGATCTTGAACGGATGGGGGATCTTGAACGGATGTGGGAACTTGAACGGATGTGGGATCTTGGACGGATGTGGGATCTTGAACGGATGTGGGATCTTGAACGGATGTGGGATCTTGAACGGATGTGGGATCTTGAACGGATGTGGGATCTTGAACGGATGTGGGATCTTGAACGGATGTGGGATCTTGAACGGATGTGGGATCTTGAACCGATGTGGGATCTTGAACGGATGTGGGATCTTGAACGGATGTGGGATCTTGAACGGATGTGGGATCTTGGACGGATGTGGGATCTTGAACGGATGTGGGATCTTGAACGGATGTGGTATCTTGAACGGATGTGGGATCTTGAACGGATGTGGGATCTTGGACGGATGTGGGATCTTGAACGGATGTGGGATCTTGAACGGATGTGGGATCTTGAACGGATGTGGGATCTTGAACGGATGTGGGATCTTGGACGGATGTGGGATCTTGAACGGATGTGGGATCTTGAACGGATGTGGGATCTTGGACGGATGTGGGATCTTGGACGGATGGGGGATCTTGAACGGATGTGGGATCTTGAACGGATGTGGTATCTTGAACGGATGTGGGATCTTGGACGGATGTGGGATCTTAAACGGATGTGGGATCTTGAACGGATGTGGGATCTTGAACGGATGTGGGATCTTGAACGGATGTGGGATCTTGGACGGGTGAGTGGGGTGGATGGATGACCTGAGCGTTGCTGAAACGATTCTTGATGTAGTGACGGTGCGCGAGGATGGGGTGGTCAGTCAGAGTTGGACGGAGGTTCTTGAACGGATGTGGGATCTTGAACGGATGTGGGATCTTGAACGGATGTGGGTTCTTGGACGGAGGTTCTTGGACGGGGGTGCTTGGACGGAGTTCTCGGACGGACGTTCGAAGGAGGCAATGAACAAGTGGTTTTCCCTTCTTTCCTCCCGCCCTCTCCACCCCACGTGATGAACAAGTGGCTGTCGCTGCAGGCGGCGTCGTCCATCCCCCTCACACATACCCTCCTCCCTGCAATCCCCTCTGCGTAACCCCCTTTTCCGCTTCCCCTCTCCTCCCCCCTCCCCCCTGCCTCCCCACCACCACCATCACCAGGTGATGAACAAGTGGCTGTCGCTGCAGGCGGCCTCATCCATCCCCGGCAACGTGGAGGCGGTGAAGAGTCTCATGGAGCACCCAGCCTTCATCATCACCGAGCCCAACAAGGTCAGCACTGAGCAACAAGCTGTGTGAACACTCTTAGTCCAGCATGCTTGGCTTCTTGGGAATGTGGAGGGGTCAAGAGGCTCATAGGTCAAGAGGCTCATAGGGCATGCAACCTTCATCATCAGCCTCGCCGTGATTAGGCTTCCATTGCAACCACTCTTCATGCTTCCATTGCAACCACTCTTCATGCTTCCATTGCAACCACTCTTCATGCTTCCATTGCAACCACTCTTCATGCTTCCATTGCAACCACTCTTCATGCTTCCATTGCAACCACTCTTCATGCTTCCATTGCAACCACTCTTCATGCTTCCATTGCAACCACTCTTCATGCTCAAGCAAGCATGCCCAAGCAAGCATTTGTACGCAAGCAAGGTGTGCGCAAGGTGTGGGCAAGGTGTGGGCATGCAAGGTGTGGGCAAGCAAGGTGTGGGCAAGCAGGGTGTGGGCAAGCAAGGTGTGGGCAAGCAATGTGTGGGCAAGCAATGTGTGGGCAAGCAAGGTGTGGGCAAGCAGGGTGTGGGCAAGCAGGGTGTGGGCAAGCAAGGTGTGGGCAAGCAGGGTGTGGGCAAGCAACCTTGCACTCTGATCGCCCTCCCTGCCTTCTCTGTCTGCTTGTTCTCTTCCCGCCTGGTCTACTCTTTGATCAGCGGATTCACCTCTTGCGCAGTCAACCTGTACGCCCCGGACGCCAGCGGGTATCGCTTCCTGGCCGACACGGTGCCGGGCTGCTCTCACCTCCTTGCCTCTCTGCCCTTCCTGTTCTTGTCCCGCCAGGTCTACTCGCTCATAGGCGGGTTCACATCGTGCGCTGTCAACCTGCACGCCCCGGATGGCAGCGGGTATCGTTTCCTGGCTGACACGGTGCTTCGGCTCGACAAGATCAACGCGCAGGTGGCCGCGCGCATGGTATCCGCCTTCACACGCTGGCGCCGCTACGACGAGCAGCGCCAGGCGCTGGCTAAGGTGTGTGCATATGCTCTCTGCCTCTCTTTCTCTATCACCATATGATACTCTCTGTCGCTCATGGTCTCCGCCTTGGTGCACTGGTGCTGCTACAACGAGCAGCGTCAGGCACTGGCTAAGGTGGGCTGTGTTGTGTGGCTTCGTTAGGTCTCTGTAGCCGAGTGATTCTCTCTCATTCTTAGTGTCCAGTCTGCCCTATGCCCATTCGCCCACGTGGCCTTGTCCCACCATTTGCCCCCATGCCCTTGTGCCCATGCCCCCCTGCCTGCCACCAGGTGGAGTCGGAGCGCGTTCTGGCAGCGGAGGGCCTCTCAGAAAACGCGTATGAGATCGCTGGTTCTCCTGCCCCTCCTGTCCGCCCCTTCAATTCGCCCCTCCTCTCCCCTCCCTTGTTTCCCATGCCCCCCTGCCTGCCACCAGGTGGAGCTGGAGCGCATTCTGGCAGCGGAGGGCCTGTCAGAGAACGTGTATGAGATTGTCTCCAAGAGCCTCTCCGCCCCGCCTGCTGCTTAGGCGCTAGGCAGTGCTGTGATTGTTCAACACTTCAGCTGTTTAGCTGCCACGGGAGCATGTGGTGTTGCGCCAGTGAGTATGATCATTATTCGCACAGACGTGCACATGCTGGTGTTGGCATGGAGACTGCGACAAATACTAAAGCAGCTGATTATGGACAAGCAAGGTTACATACATTCAGAGTCTTGACCACAGGAAAACACCACCGGGCAGTGCTGCTACTAGAACAGGATCCGACTCCGACACCCTCGTTTCTTTCTCTTGTTCGCCAGCTCCCCCCTGGCAATCTCATCATCACACAAACGAGTTGTGGCAGCTGCTCCTCCCCATGGCCATACGCATCCCCTTCATGTCCATGGAACGTAGAGGTGCACGCGCCCTGGAACACAGCTCCTTGCAATAGCCAGAGTTGAATGGATTATCACATATAAGATGCCAGAACCACTGGACTGGATACAGGCCTGGCTCAGGACTACCAGAAGAGGAACTCGGTCCGGCAGCCTTTCTTCTTTGACTCATTTGCCAGCTCCCCCCCGGCAACCTCCTCATCGCACACAAACGAGTCGTGGCAGCTCGCCTTCCCAAGCGCCAGCCTAATCCTTTCCACGTCCATAGAGAAGGTCGAGGTGCACGTGCCCTGGAACATGGCGCCCTGCACCGCCACTGCCTTGTCCACCTCTGCCACGACCAGCTTCCACTGAGCGTCATCCGCCACTAGTGCGCCGAACCAGCGCTGCAGGCCCGGCCACCCGCGCACGCCGGCCACCACGTGGGTGGTGACGCCTGGGGGGGGGATGGGGGCTCCTGGCGGTGGCGGAGGGGTGGGGTCCCTGGCTTGGAACAGCTGCTTCAGCTGCTGCACCTGGTGGTGGGCGTGGGAGGGGGTTATGGGGGGATGGGGATTGCTGAGGAGGTAGTTGACAGGGCTTCCCAGGCAGGGCTTCTCAAGCAGGGCTTCCCAAGCAGGGCTTCTCCAGCAGCCGAGCCTCAGACGGCCTGGTGGTGGAGGGGAGGGGTCCCTGGCTTGGAAAAGCTGCTTCAGCTGCTGCACCTGGTGGCGGGCGTGGGAGGGAGGGGGTTGTTGAGGGGGGATTGATGGGGATGTATGTCACCCGCTCTCTCAAGCAGCCTCACATGGTCGGGCTCAGTTGTACCATGTGATTCTGCAAAGTATGTGTTAGCAAAACTAGACGGGATAGAGCTCGATGAGAATCACTAGAGCGGGTGTTTTTAAAGGACTTTACCTCCTCCTGACCAGCACGCCCCAGCCGGCACCCCACGTCCAGCTGCTGCCACTCACAGCCCGACGGCATGGACCAGACCAGGGTTGGGGCTTGCACACTCACCTCCTTGTTCCCGGCATTCGTGGCGATGATTAGATCCGCCAGCTGCTGCTGCTGCAGCTGCCTCTGCACGCACGCCACCACCTGGTGCGGCCCCAGCCGGCACCCCACGTCCAGCTGCTGCCGCTCACAGCTCGATGGCATGGACCAGAGTTGGGGCTTGCACACTCACCTCCTTGTTCGCAGCATTCGTGGCGATGAATAGATACGCCAGCCCGTGTTGCTGCAGCTGCCTCTTCACGCATGCCACCACCTGGTGCGGCCCCAGCCGGCACCCCACGTCCAGCTGCTGCTTCTCACAGCTAGCCCGCAGGTCCCCCGCTCTCAAATGCAGGCTTAGGAACGGCTTCTGCCCGAATTTCTCCTGCACGAATTCTTCGGCTGCCCGGAAGACCCACTCGTCTGGCTGCACTGCGAGTATGTTCGGGCAGCCGGGCAGCCGCTGAAAAGGAAGGTCACCCCAAGCCAAGGGGTGCGCCAGTTCTTTAAAGGAAGGGTAGATGTATAAATCCCCCAATAGTATCACATCTGCATGGCCCGTATGCCCATTGAAAAAGCTGTAGAACTTTTCTAATGTGCCCGATGCCGGTTTGGACACATGGCCTTTGATGTTCACATCTTCTGGTATATGCACAAATGACTTCATATCGCGCGCTGTAGTGGGTATAGAGCCGTACCTCCAGCACAATACTCGATCCAGCTCCGCCTTCTTGCCATACTCGTTATAGTATTCTTCAGTCGTCTGTACAGCGTCGTTACCGTAGCACTGCCGTGCATGCGCAACGTCGAAGAGGATGGAGTAGTTGTAACCGTGCTTGGTTTCGGAGGGGAGGGCGTTGACGAGGAGAGTGCGGCGGAGGAGACCCGCGAAGAGCAGATGCATGCGAATGCAGTGCACCCAGTTGCTGATCTGTGAGCAAGGCAGGAGGGAGGGGCACGGAAACATAAAGGGGGGGTCTTAGGAAAGGACATAGCAAAGAGGAGAAGCATGCGAATGCAGTGCACTTGGTTGCTGTTCTGCATGGCAGGAGGGAGGGCGGCAGAGCAGCAAGGGCAGCAGAATGAGTCACTGTAGTGAGTGAGTGAGTGAGTGGAAGCTGGGGGTTGGTAGAGTCAGCGAGCACATGATCACCTGGCCGCTGTCGCAGTGCATAAGGATGTACTTGTGCGCCTGGGGGGTCCACTGCAGGGGGGGCGTGGCTGCTGCTGCTGCAACACCATCACCTGCAGCAGCGGCCGCAGCAATGGCTTGAGGCAGATAGAGGCGGGATGACGATGGGCAGGAGGCGAGGGGAGCGACGGGGGAGGGAGACGGGGCAGCGAGGGGAGAAGGCAGAGAGGCAGGTGCGGGTGCTGGTGCAGGTGCGGTTGCCGCCAGGGAAGCAGGTGCTGCTACTGATGCTGTGGGCGGCGCCACCTCAGGGGGGGATGCAAGAGGTGGGGGAGCGGTTGTGGCGGCAGGTAATGGGGAGGACGTGGGGAGGAGCGGGGGGAAAAGCACGGAGAGCACAGGGGGATGAGGGGAGGGCGATGGGAGGGAGAGGGTGCTGCTGAGATGCCTGGTACCGCTCTCCACCACTCGCAGCCGCACAGCACCATGCGATGGGGGTGTTGATTGAGCGTGCACGGTGGAACATGGTCACATGGGTATGGGAGGGAGGGGGGAGAGGGGGGGGGGTGCGGGGGGGAGGGATGGGCAACATCACTTGTTACGAAGACGGCAAGGAGGAACAGAGGAATCAGAAGGAGCGCCTTCAATCTATGATGCAACCATGACGTCACACCGGCATGCCATCGTTGGCATCCGATGGGCCACTCACCCGAGCGCGGTTATGGAGCAACTGACGTGGCCGTATGATGCGTTGGGCGGGGACACGGCGCTCACGCTTCCCATGAGCGGAGAGTCTCCCCCGCCTGCGCGCAGCAGGCGGAAGCTGCGCCAGGAGCAGGCGGGGAAGAGGAGGTCCGCCGCGGCGATGACGAGCGCCAGCAGCAGCAGGCGCAGATGGCGGATTGCGCCAGAACCGAAGGGCGCGCGGAAAGGCGCGCTCGAGCGGCGGGGATGCGCTGACGGCGAAATAAACGGCGCAGCGTCATCGCCGCCGGCGCCGTCAAAAGCGTCGTGGCTGTCGTAATAGTCGCTGACGTGGCCGCCGTCCCGCCACGGACCCTGCTGGCAGCGGCACGGCATCCTCTGTACTCGTTATGAGTCGGCTCGAAACAGGCACGCTGGCAGCGGCGGCACGGGGGCATGCCCCGCGCGACTCCGCCTGAGCGCGTCACGCCAGGCGGATCCGCTCGCGTGCCGCGCTGCGCCTCGACGGCGCGACGGGCGCGGGGCGACTGCTCGACGTGCCTAAGGCACTAACTTATTCTCATCATCGTATGGCAGATGGTGTGGAAATCTGTTCGGCTGGTAGTACATTTGCATCGATGACCTAGGAATACTCTTGAAGCAGTTGCGATACACAGAATTGGAAAGAATAGCGAAACACTTTACATTAGCGTGTAACTCAAAAATGGGATTCAATTACATGGGAGCCCTATTAGACACTATGAGAAATGGTAGCTACTAAAGAATTGGCACGAAGTATGCTCGTAGGAAGAGGTATTCCCACATAAAACGGTTGGATACCTGAACTAGCTTCACTGTCCTCCCTCCGCCTTTGCAGCCCATCCGCTCCGCCCTTTATAATCACGAAGCGCTGTAGTGTCACGACCAGAGGCCGAGTTAATGTATAGGAAGTGACTGATCCCTTCGTCACAGCGACGGCTGAGTCACATTCCTCAGAGTCACATTCTCAGAGTCAAGAGGCACATTCCGTTGAGTCACAAGGCGGGCGCGGCATGGCCGACCTGCAGGCTCGAGTGGCGCAGCAGCGACTTGTGCCGCACGGCCGCGTGGCTGGCGTGCCGCGGGCTGCTACAGCGGGGGCTCTTGGGCGACCGGCTAGCCGGCGACGGCGGGTTGGTGTGGCTGCGACTCAGCGACCGCGGCTCCTCGTAGAAACTCAGATCGTCGCGCCAGCTCCCGCCGCCATTGCTGTCGTCTAGGGAGCGCCGACCCCTCGAGTTGAAGCCGCTGCCGCTGCTGCTCTCTGCGTCCCTCCGACTCGACGATCCCCGGCCGCTGCTGTCGCGCTCGACGGATCCGCATCTGTCGACCGAGCCGCATCTCTGGACCGGCGAGCAGCACGCTGGGTCGATGATTGGCTGGCAGCTGGTGTGGCTGCGCGCCCACAGGGAGCGCCCGTCGCGGTCGAGCGAGCCGATGCGCGTTAGGGTTCGATGCGGCCGCGACGCGGACGGGAACGTCGACGAGGGCGATAATGTGTGTGATGGTGCTGCTGGCGTGGCGGCGGCGGATTGGAGCTCGGATTCGAGCATCTCGACGAACTGCTGGCATCGGACGGCGGAGAGCTGCCGCTGCATGTCGAGGAGTCTAAGCTTGCCTTCGAGCACGCGCGTGTCCACGTCTTCCAGCTTCTTCCGGATAATCTGCGACGGCGATAGGCTGTCGTCGATTAGGTGACGTGGCGTGGAGGGATCGTCTAATGGGCTGTGATGGTCCACGCATACTCGAACGGACGCCATTGATGCGGGGGATGAGGACGTTTCGGGCGAGGATCAGCGGCCAGGGTTGATTTCCGTGCCTTATTTGCGGGAATGTCGGCTTCTGTCCAGCTTGAGGACTCGAAATCGCGTGAGGCGTGGCGGGGAAGAGAAGCGTTGACGAATTACTATGGTTTGATCGTAAAACCAGAGTGGTTGAGCACCCCTCGCACGAAGAAATGGATTTTGTTCAACTAGGATGTGAATGGGAGCAGATAAGGATCAACCCAGACTGATCTCGGGAACAAGAAGACTGTACTCACGCTGCGGGTGAACGTGGAACAGTTGTGGAGCGATGCGAGGGATTAATGGCTGCACTTTCCTTGCCAAGGGCTGTGCCTTGCTTGAACGTGGCTTCTCAACTGATCTAGAAGTTACTAAGAACAGAAAGCAAGTTCTGTTGCTTTGAAATGGAAAGCAGCTGAAGTGGGTTCTGTCAGACATTCCCGCTTCCTTCTGCCTCGAGGCGTGCAAGGGGCCCCGCTTGCCTCATAATTCTTCGCCCAACGACTCCAGGGACGCGCTTGCACGTTGCGGTTGCTGTTGCACCGCATCATGTCAGGATCACATGACTCGATTCCCTGAAATCAATGTTTGCTGGCACGCCGAAGCGTTTACGCGACAAATTCCCCTTGGACGGGTGGAATCGAGCCTGCAGCACAGACTTGGATTTGCGGGCAGCCCTTCATTTGCTTGAGTGCAGTGGCGCAAGGCAAAATATACGTTTATTGCTCCCCACCCAACGCCACGGCATTCACTGTACTTCCGGTTTGCTATGCAATGTACATTGCTTTGCTCAGAAGGTTGATTGTGCTGATGAATAAACGGGGATATTCAGCTGACCGTGCTGACGTGCACAAGGGTAGCGGTGGAGTCAGCAGCCCATGTGTTTGTGGCGGCAAGGTGATCGTCGACGACAAGTCGAATGTGATCGATTCTCTGTGTGCCAACGCGGATTGCCCACACCGAGAGACAGGGGGCACTCAGCCTCAGCAACAGTGGGCTCGTGATTTGAGGAACAGTTCCAAGTGACCCGTCGTCCACTAGTCCAACTCTGTTTCTTGATGCCGTTATCGAATCCCTGTGGATCGCGAAACCGTGGTGAGTTGTGTTTTGCATTTCGGCTGCATCCACGAGGAGGAAGCACCAAAGGCCCCAGATTTCGGTACTATAAACCGTAATGAACTTCTGTTCTACCTCTCAAGAGCGCGCTAAACCTAACTGCAACGCACCAGACGAGCAAATACACCTGCTCCACACTATGGTTCTCATACGAACACAGTCCAAACTGCAATTCTCGCCTGATTTTGTCACCTCTAGGGTCCCAATTGCAATTCTCGCCTGCTCTTGTCACCCTACGTTCAGTCCCACCCACCAGGTACCGAGCTGAACCGCATTGACCCCCAAAGTCAGGTCGAAATGCTCAACATTTTGCCCGAGAGTTACTGTTGCAATTTCTGGGCTCCCGTTTGCCTGTGGTTTGAAATTTCTGGGGAACAGGCCCGTGTCACATGAAAAAACCATTCTTTTTAAGCGTAGAACAGGTGTATTGATTATTCGGTCACGCCTTCTGGAATGTCAGAGTCTGACAGGGAATCTTTATTGTCACACCTTCAACATGCCACCGAACTAGAATCACATCGTCACGGACCATTTCGTTCACTTCGTATGCACAGTTTCGATACCGATATGCGCCTGCTGGGGCGTACCAGCATAAAGCATCTCGGTTAATAAAGTCGGGGGATATACAAGGTATGCATATGGTTTTGAAACAGTTTCGTTGTAGAAATGCAAAGCTGCCGATCGAAGTGACCTGCATGAACATACGATACAATGTACCTGCGCATGTGGGGAAACTATATCGGGGAAAGATTCCTCGATTTCCGCAGCCCGTTGCGCAACCCCTTGGGGCTCATTTTGACTGACCGAGCGTCAATCGAGCGTCAGGTTCACAGGGTGCTACGCGTTCTGGTACGATATGATGGGTTTCTGTGCGGTGATAACCTTTTGACCTGGCCATCATCAATCTTGGAATTCACCCCAAATTGTTTGCAACTGCGTGCATTCTTGGTGCTGCATCTGCCATTCTCACTCTGCTGCTCCGGACATAGCGCCTTTGTTTCTCATAGGATTCCCCAAATTCTCCTGAATTCCTCGCCATCTCGTCAATCTTGTAAGGAAGTTCCTCCCGCCTGCCGAGATCTGGTATTACGCCCTCCGCAAGCGCTGCCCACGCTCGAAAAATGGCCGCAAGGTACGTTCGCGATTAGTCGTTTCTGCTCCGTCTATGCGGCCACTGTCCCTCGCAGCAAGGACGCAGCATGCGTGTGCGCTTTGAGAAATCTCGCTACGCGCCGCTGTTCTCGCTCTGACATAGATGAACCATCGCATCCTCGTTACTGCCTTTCGTTGCTTACCGTGGGACTTCTCCTCGCAGCGACGACGCGGGCAAGGCGCTGCGCGACAGGGCGGTGGGGCTGAAGCTGGGCGACCCGTTTCCGGACTTCGAGGCGGACACTAGCGTGGGACGCATCAAGTGGCACGACTACATCGACGGCCGCTGGGCCATCCTCTTCTCGCACCCTGGTAGGGCGTGCACCCTGGCAGGACGTGAACCCCGGTAGGACGTGCCCCCTGGTACGATTTGCAACTTCAAGCTGCTTGTTGATCTCGCGAGGTCTCAGGTTTGGCGAAACTGTCTTCGATTTCTCACAAGCGCCACGATTTTGCGTTGCTTGCTTCGCGCAGCGGACTTCACCCCCGTGTGCACGACGGAGCTGGGCAGCGTGGCGAAGTTCGCAGAGGATTTCGCAAACAAGGGCGTGAAGGTGGCGGCGCTGAGCTGCGACAGCGCTGACTCGCACCGCGCGTGGATCCGCGACATCGAGGCATTCACTCCGGGCGTCAAGGTACGTCATAGCATCTGGTCGAGGCATCATTGAACCATAGCATTTAAGATCCCGCGATGCATCCGCAGCAGCGCATTCCTTGGCATGGTCATCTAGCCAAAGCAGCCCTTCCTCGAGTCCCTCTCTCCGCTGTGTGTGTCTCCGCCCCCTCCCTCCAGGTCACCTACCCTATAATTGCGGACCCGAGTCGCGACATCGCGGTGCGGCTGGGCATGCTGGACGCCGTTGCTAAGGACGCCGCAGGGCTGCCGTTGACGGCGCGCGCCGTGTTCGTGATCGGCCCGGATAAGACGCTCAAGCTCTCCATCCTGTACCCCGCCACCACTGGACGCAACTTCCATGAGGTGCGGTGCGGTGTGGTGCGGTGCAGCGTTGCAGAGCATGGCGCGGAACACAGGCTTATCTGTCCTGTTAGCATGCTATGTTTGTCTGTCGCATCTCGCTCCCCTTCGAAATTCCTTTTCCCCCCCCCCTCCCCCCCTCCCTCCCCTCCCCTCCTCTCTGTCCTTTTCTCCTACTCTTGTCTCTCCTGATTCCCCGTCGCCCCCACCCATACCCGCTTATTTCATGGCCACGTGTTGTCAGATTCTGCGTGTGATTGACAGCCTTCAGCTGACCGCCCAGTACAGCGTGGCGACACCAGTGGACTGGAAGCATGGAGACGACGTCATTGTGGCGCCATCAGTCAGCAACGAGGCAGCTACGGAGAAGTTTCCCAAGGGCTTTAAGGTGAGCCGAGTAAACCGCTGCCTTGTCACCTTCTGCATGATGTTGCCTCACTGACGTAGTGGCTGGCTCCCTTCAGCGTGTGCCTCCCTGAGTGCACAGCTCACGTTGCCATGATGGTGCTTCTCGTGCTGCGCTGATGCTGTCCCTACTGCCTGCTTGGTGTTGGGTGTGCTGCAGACGGTGGACCTTCCTTCAGGCAAATCCTACTTGCGCACCACACCCCAGCCAGATCTGTAAAGTCCTACTTGCGCACCACACCCCAGCCAGATCTGTTAAGTCCTACTTGCGCAACACACCCCAGCCAGATCTGTTAAGTACCAGACATTGGTGCACCTTGTATTGTAAACCTTGTACAGGGCGTGTGAAGTAAGGTTGTGAGTTATAACGTGCAAATGTGAAGTTGATTCTCAATGTACAGGTGGAGCCTTTATGACATACTATGGCCGTTCACAATTAGTTAGCTTATGTTGCAACACTGTAGTACGAATCTTGATTTCTTATTACTATTTCACTGTTTATTGTTTTACTATTTCACTATCAGAGTAGGAAATGAATCTTCATATTGGTAACAAAATTCACATTAAAGTGGATATACATCTCCACCATAAAAATAATGAGGCTGTACACATGACCTGCCACGCCTTAGCTCATGCCTCCCAGGAAAAGGGCGAAGACGCCCCAAAAAACGGGAGACGGAGAGCAAGCGGCTGTGGGCTGTTGGTGGTAGCCGTGGCGGCTAGCAGCTGTGGCTTCGCAGAGGGTGCTACTGCTTAGAAGTCTCGCTCTTGGTTCTCAGCTTGTGGCCGAGTCAAGAGTTCCGGGTCCGTCCATCTCAATATTCATCGCCGCGAATAAACTGACACGGCCGAAAAAGCATCGCGCGACGCTGAGCGGGGAGAAAAAAGACTCTTGGGTCGACCTCAACCCCGCTCGTGTTCCACAAAAGGGCGGACAAATTACTCCGAGCCGTTGGAGGTTGAGCGCTGAGACCACGGTGAGAGTGCTGACGCGCAGACGCGGCCGCTTAGCCGCGCGCAGGCATCATTATAAGGCGGCCTCTGCAGGCCGAAAAGGGAGCAGGCTGACAGCGCTGCTCAAAAGTTCAGAATGGCGGGTCGTTGTTCAGAATCAATTGTTCAGACGACCTTTGTCCTCCGTGAGGTTCAGAATCAAATGGCGGGTCGTTGTTCAGAAGAGCTCGCAGTTGAGGCTCGAGTGGCGGCGGAGCGACTTGGAGTGGTGGCGCGGCGACGCGCCATGGGAGCGGGTGGAGCGGAGGCGGCGGGAGGAGGCGGAGGGGCAGCTGTAGAAGGAGAGGTCCTCCTCCCACGTGCTGCGACGCGATGCGCTCAGATCCAAAGACCGGCGCGACGAGCGGCGAGAAAGCCGATCGCTGTCGCTGGTTTCGTCGTTGTCGTCGGCACTCCCAAGGGACGACTCGAGCATATGGATGAAGGACTGGCAGCGCAGCGCGCTGAGCTGGCGCTGCGTGTCTAGAAGCTGCAGCTTGCTCTCGAGCGCGCGGATCTCAACGTCCTCTAGCGTGCTCCGGATTACGCGCGAGGCGGCGCGGCAGCTGAGGTCGTCGGATGTGGAGATGAGAGCAGCGGAGGCCATTGTCAGATTCTTGTTTCACGCGATGGTCAAGTTTGCCGATTCTGGGTGGGAGTGGTATCTCGGTTCAAGCCGTAGTGAGCAAAAAAATGAGTTTCTCAAGGTGGATGTGTTGAAGAGAGGGGTGCGCTTTGTAGTGCTCGAGCAAGGGCTCGAAGATAGGGGCGTTCGAGTTTCTTGCAGACAACGATAAGGCGGAGAGGAGAGGCGCGGGGAGCACAGGAACTGACTGAGGGAGCGCCCTGGGGCAGGGAAGGCGAGGAGACGGGCGCAAGAGGGGCAGGAATCTGGATGGGATTGGATGGGCATTGTGTGGCTTGCATGGGCGGTCGACCCGCTCCAGGTCAGCTTCATCCTGTCAGGTTTCAGTTTCTCGTTGCTTCTGATTCCTTGAGAAATTGCTGACTCGGCACGATTTTGTCATCCTTGGGGAATGCCTTGTCCGATTTGATTGACCTAGGGCCTGGTTCCTGCGCATGCACCTAGCCATTGGTGGTGGTGTGGCTTCGCAAGGAGCAACAAGTAGCATCAGGCGCATACGCACCTGGTTGACACAGACGATCGCATTCAAGCTGCCAGCTGCAATATTGAATCACTTTCAGTGAGTGTGGCTCGACATTAAATGCTTCAACAAACCGAAAGCGCGAAATGGTTTTATTGGATGTGGATATGGCGGGAAGAGGGAGGCCAAACCGCAAGCAATCATGCTTTGAATGTCTAAGCGTTTTGAAGTCACAACAAATATCCAAGGCTTGTGATCCGTTTTTAGCTGACCTAAAAAACAAATCAAGACACCAAACCTAGTACAGTTCCAGCGAGCCTAGTACAGTCGATGCTCAGCCAATCTCGTACGCAACATTTATCTCAATCAGAATCACTTTCCAAAACCTCGGATTTAGGGGCAATGGAATAACGCACACAATCACATCACCACCACACAGCTACCGAATCCACCACACGTTGATGGAGGGCGGAACGAAATGACCACACAATTGCCCGTTGGGACCTCTGTTTATTGACCAGACACAAATATCTTGTTACAAATTCCACGTTTCTGTCCCATTTGCCTGTGGCGAAGCATGCGAAAAGATGAGCTCGACATTGCCCCAGCAATTCGGAAAGTTCGTGTGACTCTATCGCTATTCGACTGCAAATCTCACCCCTTACATATTATGGAGCCCCAACTTTCAGAAACATTCCGCGACTTTCAGGTGGCGGGGTTTTGCCCCAACAATGTGTTTTGTGGACAGCTGTTGCTGAATTTACGGGTTGCAGCACGGAATGATGCGGATTAACTGAACAAGATCAGCCCCTCAAAGCCCGCCACGGAAGTTTTGAAGGATTTCCCATCCACATGATCCTCCTGGACCCTCCTCCGTCGCGGCAGGGGAGAACCAATCAGGTGAGGCAAAGAGCTCGCAATAGGCATACCCGATTTCGATCTGGTTCACCCCTCGCGCATGCACCACGCCTCCCCTCCCCCCTCTCTCCCTCTCCCATCTCTGTGCAAACTGGTATCACGTGATCTCTCGAGTGCTTCAGGCGGCCATTGCCTGAAACCCACAGGAACGGTTCTTCCCCAAACTGACTTGTCCCTGCGCATCTGTTTCCTGCTTCTGTGCTGGGACACTGCTCCTCCTGGGTACTGTACCTGAGGTAGTCTGCAGCGGCACTGGCCCAGGCCTCTCGCTAAGCCCCAGGGTATCCCAGAAAGGGACGGAATCGCCTCGGGACTACCCGTTAACATACTGAATTTCCCCCAAAAAACCTGTTACCAAAAAGAATCGGCAGCTACAAATTCGGCTAGCAAGTGATCAAAGGCGCGGGAGGGGGAAGGGGGGGGGGGGGGGATCTGGGGGCGGCTGAGTATAATCCCCCTACAGATTGCCCTGCTACAAGTATAGCCCGTACGGATTCGGAAAAAAATTACTCTTTAGGCTAAGGAATCGGCGATTTTTTTTTCCTTCAGCTAGACGGATTCGGAAAAAAATCGCACTGTAAAATAACGGAATCACCTGAAAAGTTACTATTTAATTTTTCGAAATTAAGGGTAATTGCCCTGTTAGCAAGAGGCATGCACTGGCCTGAGCAGAGGGAGCTCAGTAAGCGGTGTCAGGCCATTGACGACATAGTCTGCTCTATCCAGGTCATTCTCCCCAGATGGCCTGACTTGGCTGGAAGAGGCTTGTGCTTCTGGAATTTGCACATCCTCGTCATCGCGTCGCAATGCGCGGTTACGCATACGCTTGCCACAGTCTACGACGACATTTCTCTGTTCGTTCCTGGTCGATAGCGATCCTTCCAAGATGCGGGGCAGAGGCATCAGGGATGGCGGCTGGCTGACATGTGCGAGTTCCCAACGAGCCCGAGGGGCTGGCGTCACCCTGACGCCAGCCCCTTGCCTGACCTCGAGCAATGCGAGCACATCACCTCTCTCCCTTAGCGCTCCCCGCGAAACAGTGAGATTTAGTGTTCCCTTAGTTCTTGTTTCCCGAATGCGTCTCGAAATGCATCTTTCCTCTGTCCCCGCCTCGGGCGGCCATCGTGGTGGACAAATCGTTTGCCGAACTACGGCTAGTGGAGCTTCTTGCGGAACCCTGGAAAATTGAATCAATTTTTCAAACTGCCGACTCCGTGCACGTTGGCGGTAATGTTCTTGAGCCACGGACACACTAAGGGCGTGTCACAGGAGTACGTTTTCGCAAAATTCCATACTCAACCGTTCTCGATAGTCATTTGACTGTTTTAGACCGCGACATAACTTGTCGAACTGCAATCGGACGCACTTTTGTGACGCGCCCTAATGCCTCAATGCTGAATTGGACGTTCTGCTTGAAGTATCCTGACACATACCCCTCTGAACAAGTCACCTAGACTGAGCTTCCATTATGAAATGCACATAAAGCAAATACTTGGTCAAGGCTGAAATGGCTTGCTCTGGTACAGGAGGTAATGACATCTTGCAAATCACAATGATATTGTGTAATACAAAGAATAGTAATAGACCAACGCACGCTACAAAAAGCAAAAATTAAGAGAAAATGTTGGTGCTTTCATGGGGGTAATCTAGGCTTGTACGCCTTTTGCTTGTGTTGCGAGGTCGAGGTGCATTGAATTTCTCCAGTTGCGGGCTTGGCGACGTGTTACATGGGCGAAGCGCACGATGTGTGCGAAATGAATCACACGGGGAAGCTGCTGGTGAAGTCCAGCGGCGACGAGGCACGGGGTCGTCGTAGAATCGAAGGTCTTCTGCCCATCGCGCGGATTGGCAGCGCCCAACAGCAGCACTGGGTGAGGCAGCTTCAAACCCGAAATCACCATTGGGACGATTCTCCGATAACGTCGCTGAGCTTTCCATCCATCGAGCTGACCGGCTTCGCGCAGACGGGGTTGCCATGCGATGCCCGCTGTCGCCACGGCGATAATCTAAAGATTCGCACAGCGGCTTAGTGAGCGCGAATCGCACGCTACTATGGTGTCTACCGGGGGTGGCGACGGAGGAAGAGGACGTGGCGCCCGAGTGTGGGCTTCGCGACGACGATAGCGACGCCAGGGCGCGTCTGTTGGCGTGCTCGAACTCGTCGTCGAAGTCGCTCTCGTCTGACGACAAGCTCGTGCTCTCCGAGTTGCTCTCCGTCGCCAAGCGCGCGGGGGCGCCGCTCGACGCGTTGAACGGATTGGCGCGCGGGACGGGGCGCTCGACGCTGCATCGCTTCTCCGCGGTTGCTGCGTTCAACCTGAAAGCGGAAATATCGGTCGATGGTGGTGGCGAGTTGGTAGCGTGCTCGCACGATTGGCGCAGGGTTTGGATGAACTGTTGGCATCGCACGGCGCTGAGCGCGCGCTGCGCGTTAAGCAGCTCCAAGCGACACTCGAGCGCGTGCACCTCCACGTCCTCCACGCGACTGCGCGAGCGCGGAATCGCCAGAAAAGAACCTCTGTGAGAAGCATCGCACTGAGTGCGACTGGCGTCTGGGGGATTATCTTTTATTGCGTCGGAAGGGAGTTCTACTTTCTGGCTTCCTACGGTGGCCATGGTACAGCCGCGTTAGTGTTCGTCGTGACGACGGTCGTATCGAAGAATGAGAGATTGGAGGAGCTAAACAGCAGTTCAGTATGCAGCTTCGAGCCAGAACTTGTCTTGAGAAGGGTGGAGCTGTAAACAGAAGCGGGACAAAGCAGGTGGAGATCGAACCAGAAGTCTGAGGATAAACTCGTGCCAAGATGTGCTGTCACGAGAAGTAAGCGCGTGCCCTATCTTAGTCTCCCTGGCTCCTATCTTACCCTCAGCGAGCACAGGGTCGAAGCAGCGCCTCTGTGCGCGAAGCGAACAGCTGGGAGGCGTTGCTTTTGTGTGGCGAAAAGCATTCCTCCCCTGCTCCCCCCCCTTGGGGCAAGAGGGGGGCGCCACTTCTCCGCGCTCCTGCTTGGTTAAAATTCAACGGAATCTGTTCCACGTTCTGCTGCTCTGTCCAATCACGGTTCGGTGCATCAGGAAGAACCACCCGCACCATATCGAACCGCATCACGAGTCAACTGTTCATGGCATCAAGCCCCTCTTGGTTGCGATCCATGCTGACGGGGCAAGGCCTGCCCCAGACTTCGAAAGACCCGAACTCCTTATAAGCAGGCTTCGCATTCGTCACAACTAAGCTGGCCTGTGTCCTAACGTTCTACATAAATTTTCAGCAATCTGGCGCTGCCTTGGGTGCTGTACACCCACCTAGTAGTATATGATGTGCTGTACACCCACCTAGTAGTATATGATGTGCTGTACACCCATCAGGCAAATCGATTTTGTATGGAACACAGTACCATAGTGGCAGCTAATACCTCCGTGCATGAAGCAGCATATGTATACTGGCTAAGATGAAACTGGCTCAGCTAGTAATGACGCATAACCACTACCACCACCACCACCACCACCGCCACCACCACCACCACCACCACCACCATTTGGGGATAAGCCCTTCCCTGAACCTACATAAGGCTCCCATTGCTCCTAAATAAGGCAGAATCTGTGCTATTTTTCACATGATCCTCTTCCTTGGGAACTGCTGCCTCATCACCTAATCCTTGCTCCTCTGCTTTGTTTGCCATCCACTCGCCTTCCTGCTCTCACCCCTGCGCCTCCTTGGCAGCATCCAAGCTGTCCCACACGCCAGTCAGGTCATACTTGTTGGGGGCGGCAGCCACCGGCACGCCGCCCAGCCCTGCTGCCACGGCCGCTGCTGCCGCCCCTGCGGCCTCGGGGAATGCGTCCCAGATGCGGATGGCCCCCGTGTGCGACCCGCTGCACATGCGCCCATAGTCCAGATCCACTGCCACGTGGCGCACCTGGGGGGAGAGGAGGGAAGGGAGGAAAGAGAAATTGGGGGGACAGAGATGAACAGGAGGGGAGGGAGTGTGTGGAAGGGCAAGGGCAAGTGAGGGAATTGCAGGGAGGGAGTGCGAGACAAAGCCGAGTGAGGGGTTGGAGAGGATGAGTTGGAATAAGCAGGAATGATTGGCAGGAGTCAGACTTTGGTACGGAGGTTCGAGAGAAAACAAATGAAAGAACGAATGACAACAATGGCCCCGGGGGGAAATTCGATGGGTATGTGTGCGACCACTGACCACGTCCGGCATGTTGGCCACCATCTTGCTGACAGCCCACGTGGAGGGGTCCCCGCCGCCACTGCCCGTGCCGCCCACGCGGCCGTCAGCGTCGGTGAACTCGAGGAACATGAGCTGGTTGCCCGCCGTGGCCACCCCAGTGACCTCGTCCATCAGCCGCACCGCCACCACGGGCTCTGTTGACGAGGAGCCGCTCGTTTCTTGCGGGATGTACTGGTCTGTTGGGGGGGGGAAGGGGGATGGGAGAGAGGCGTCGGTGAGCGCGAGATGCCCACTGTGGCCACACCCATGACCTCGTCCATCAGCCGCCCTGCCACCACGGGGTCTGAGGAAAGAAGGGGAATGGGAGAGACGGGGCGGCATGGAGAGTGGCGTATGGAGATTGTGTGCATATGGCTCACTGAGGGATGACCCCTTCAAACCAATTAAGAGGGGGACCTGTCTACAGCCTTACATGTGCAATGCCAAGACTATGCTGTCAGGCCACCTCCTTCATTCAATGAACTGTGACCATGCCACACACTCTCACCGTCCTCCTTCCAAATGCGGACCATGCCACATACACTCACCGTCCTCCTTCTTCCAGATGCGGACCATGCCGTCAGCGGACCCGGTGGCGAGGCGGTGGGACGAGCTGCAGTAGTCCATGGTGCTCACGGCGCCGCCGTGGGCCGTCAGGATCTTCTCGCAGTCGCCCATCTCCACCGACCAGATCTTGGCCGTCCAATCGTGGCTGCCTGTGATGATGATGTCCTTGTGCACGAGTACACAGCTGGGGTGGGGTGGGGTGGGGGGGGGAAGATCATACAAGGGTGACAGAGGGAACGAGAGGTCGGAGACGTTTCGGATGCCATCCAGCCGTGGCTGCTTCTGGTGATGATGTCCTTGTGTGCCAGCACACAGCTGCGGGGGGGGGGGGGGGGGGGGGGGGGGGGGGGGGGGAGGATCTCACAAGGTTTAGGGAACGAGAGACCTGACAGACCTGAGGCGTCTCAGATGCCGTCCAGCCGTGGCAGCCTGTGACGATGATGTCCTTGTGAGCACACAGCTGCGGAGCGGCAGCGGGAAAGGGGCGAGAGCAGGAGCCAGGGCACGGGGCGGAGCAGGGGCCGGAGCAGGGATCGGAGCAGGGGCCAAAAGAGAGAGCAGTGGCATGCGAGTGGGAAAAGCAGGGGAAGAAGGGGAACGAGGCGCAGGAGAGGGCAACAAGGAGGGAAACTGCAGAGGCTCACCCAATGCAAGAATAATGAGGGCCAAAGAGGGTGCATACAGCAGAATGCGGTCATGACTCGCAGCAGCTGACCCCCGCCCACACCTGACCCAGAAGCTGTGCGCCCCACACCCCACCTGACCCAGTTGCTGTGCGCCCCACACCCCACCTGACCCAGAAGCTGTGCGCCCCACACCCCACCTGACCCAGTTGCTGTGCGCCCCACACCCCACCTGACCCAGAAGCTGTGCGCCCCACACCCCACCTGACCCAGAAGCTGTGCGCCCCACACCCCACCTGACCCAGAAGCTGTGCGCCCCACACCCCACGTGACCCAGTTGCTGTGCGCCCCACACCCCACCTGACCCAGAAGCTGTGCGCCCCACACCCCACCTGACCCAGAAGCTGTGCGCCCCACACCCCACCTGACCCAGAAGCTGTGCGCCCCACACCCCACCTGACCCAGTTGCTGTGCGCCCCACACCCCACCTGACCCAGAAGCTGTGCGCCCCACACCCCACCTGACCCAGAAGCTGTGCGCCCCACACCCCACCTGACCCAGAAGCTGTGCGCCCCACACCCCACCTGACCCAGTTGCTGTGCGCCCCACACCCCACCTGACCCAGAAGCTGTGCGCCCCACACCCCACCTGACCCAGTTGCTGTGCGCCCCACACCCCACCTGACCCAGTTGCTGTGCGCCCCACACCCCACCTGACCCAGAAGCTGTGCGCCCCACACCCCACCTGACCCAGAAGCTGTGCGCCCCACACCCCACCTGACCCAGAAGCTGTGCGCCCCACACCCCACCTGACCCAGTTGCTGTGCGCCCAACACCCCACCTGACCCAGAAGCTGTGCGCCCCACACCCCACCTGACCCAGAAGCTGTGCGCCCCACACCCCACCTGACCCAGAAGCTGTGCGCCCCACACCCCACCTGACCCAGTTGCTGTGCGCCCCACACCCCACCTGACCCAGAAGCTGTGCGCCCCACACCCCACCTGACCCAGAAGCTGTGCGCCCCACACCCCACCTGACCCAGAAGCTGTGCGCCCCACACCCCACCTGACCCAGAAGCTGTGCGCCCCACACCCCACCTGACCCAGTTGCTGTGCGCCCCACACCCCACCTGACCCAGAAGCTGTGCGCCCCACACCCCACCTGACCCAGTTGCTGTGCGCCTCAAGGAAGTGCATCTCCCTGCCTGCTCGCATGTCCCACACGCGCGCCGTGCTGAAAGGGAGAGAGAGAGGGGGGGGCAGGCACGGATGAGAGGAGGGAGGAAAGAAGAGTGAATGGGCCGGATGAGAGGTAACAGGAGAGTGAAGGAAAGGGGACAAAGCGGAGTGAGCAGAGGAAGGCAAAAAGGCCAACGCGGGGAATGCAGCAGCAGCAGCTGTGCCATCTGCAGCGCCACATACCCGTCGGTGTGCCCCGTGGCGATGAGCCCCCCCGCGTCCTCCTGCCAGCTGAGGCAGAGCACGGCCGCCCCTGCTGCCGGCTGCGCCACGGTGAGTGCCCTGCGGTGCGAGCGCATGTCCCACACCTCCACCAGCCCGTCCAGCCCGGCTGTCACCGCCGCACTGCGCGCAAAGCCCGACAGGAACCGCACACAGGAGACCTGGTGGGGGGGGGGAAGGAGAGGTTAAGGAAGAGGGGGAGGGGGGGGTGGGGGGGAAGGGAGGAGGGAAGGCAGCAGAGAGGATGGGATGAACGCTTGGAACAGAAGAGCATTGCACTTGGTGATTGGCATGACAAGCCACGGCTCGTAGATTGCTCATGGCAGCGGGGCAGCGGGAGGGGTGGCGATGATGAGTAAGTGGGGGGTCACTGGCGGATCACATCACGCAAAGAGTGGGTGGGCGAGTGGCCAATCAAGTGGTCACTCACCAGAGAGGTGGCACTCACCAGAGAGGTGGCACTCACCAGAGAGGTGGCACTCACCAGAGAGGTGGCACTCACCAGAGAGGTGGCACTCACCAGATAGGTGGCACTCACCAGAGAGGTGGCACTCACCAGAGAGGTGGCACTCACCAGAGAGGTGGCACTCACCAGAGAGGTGGCACTCACCAGAGAGGTGGCACTCACCAGAGAGGTGGCACTCACCAGAGAGGTGGCACTCACCAGAGAGGTGGCACTCACCAGAGAGGTGGCACTCACCAGAGAGGTGGCACTCACCAGAGAGTGGCACTCACCAGAGAGGTGGCACTCACCAGAGAGGTGGCACTCACCAGAGAGGTGGCACTCACCAGAGAGGTGGCACTCACCAGAGAGGTGGCACTCACCAGAGAGGTGGCACTCACCAGAGAGGTGGCACTCACCAGAGAGGTGGCACTCACCAGAGAGGTGGCACTCACTAGAGAGGTGGCACTCACCAGATAGGTGGCACTCACCAGAGAGGTGGCACTCACCAGAGAGGTGGCACTCACCAGAGAGGTGGCACTCACCAGAGAGGTGGCACTCACCAGAGCGGTGGCACTCACCAGAGCGGTGGCACTCACCAGAGCGGTGGCACTCACCAGAGCGGAGGCACTCACCAGAGCGGTGTGGGCGAAGAGTGTTCCGCGTGACAGCGACATGCGCCTGTCCAAGTGCAGCACCTGGCGGTCGTCCTCGCTTCTCCCCTCCCCCCCCCCCCCCCCCCAGCAGACGGCACAGAAGGTGCGAGCGCGGGAACTCACCGGAGCGGTGTGGGCGGAGAGCGTGCCCAGGGCGAGTGAGGTGCGCTTGTCAAAGTGCAGCACCTTGTGGTCGTCGCCGCCCGACAGAATGCTGCTCGCGTTGGACGATATGGCGCGGATGGCACTGGGAGGGGGACGGGGGGAGAGGAGAGAGGGGAGAGGGAGGGGAGAGGGGAGAGGGGAGAGGGGAGAGTGAGGTGCGGCAGAAACATGAGGTGAGGAACATGAGGTGAGCAACATGAGGTGAGGAACATGAGGTGAGCAACATGAGGTGAGGAACATGAGGTGAGCAACATGAGGTGAGCAACATGAGGTGAGGAACATGAGGTGAGCAACATGAGGTGAGCAACATGAGGTGAGCAACATGAGGTGAGGAACATGAGGTGAGGAACATGAGGTGAGGAACATGAGGTGAGGAACATGAGGTGAGCAACATGAGGTGAGCAACATGAGGTGAGCAACATGAGGTGAGCAACATGAGGTGAGCAACATGAGGTGAGCAACATGAGGTGAGCAACATGAGGTGAGCAACATGAGGTGAGCAACATGAGGTGAGCAACATGAGGTGAGGAACATGAGGTGAGGAACATGAGGTGAGCAACATGAGGTGAGGAACATGAGGTGAGGAACATGAGGTGAGGAACATGAGGTGAGCAACATGAGGTGAGCAACATGAGGTGAGCAACATGAGGTGAGCAACATGAGGTGAGCAACATGAGGTGAGCAACATGAGGTGAGGAACATGAGGTGAGCAACATGAGGTGAGCAACATGAGGTGAGCAACATGAGGTGAGCAACATGAGGTGAGCAACATGAGGTGAGGTAGACATGAGGTGAGCAACATGAGGTGAGCAACATGAGGTGAGCAACATGAGGTGAGCAACATGAGGTGAGGAACATGAGGTGAGCAACATGAGGTGAGCAACATGAGGTGAGCAACATGAGGTGAGCAACATGAGGTGAGGAACATGAGGTGAGCAACATGAGGTGAGGAACAGCGATTCATGTGAGAACACAGAATGCGCCCTATCCGACAGCTTCCCCTGCTTGCCCTGTGTCTTTCTCCCCCTTCCCCCTCTCCCCCCCCAATGCACTGACCCCTCGTGGCCTCTCATGGCGGCCTCATCACTGCTGATCCCTAATGCTTTACTCCCCCCGCCCCTCAAACCCTCCCCCTTCGCCTTCCCCCACTCACCCCTCGTGGCCGCGCATGGTGGCGCGCATCTCGGCACCCACCCTGTTGGCACTCCAAAGCTTCACCTGCGCCCAGCCCAGGGAGAAGGGGCGGGTGGGGAGAAGCGGGCAGAGAGGGGGAGTATGGAGAAGGTGAGGAGGGGGGTGCGCGTGCGGACGGACAAGACGCTGGTAGGTGGAGAGGCGCGAGGGGACCTGGAAGGGAAGACACAGCAGCGACTGGAATAGGTTCTCGAGTATGTGCTGTTAGGCATGACTCACAGTGCGATCAGCGTTAGGCACGACTCACAGTGCGATCAGCGTTAGGCACGACCATCAACTTACAGTATGGCCAGCCCTGCACTCACCGAACCAGCATCTATCGACTCACGGTGCAGTCACCTTCTCCATCGACTCACGGTGCAGTCCGCCGAGCCAGAGACAAAGTAGCCCGCATCATCACAGCCTGAGAGCAGGTCGCCCAGGTCGCTGACGGACCCCACGTGCAGCGCTGTGACGGCCGCGCCGTGCCCCCGCAGCACACGCACACTGCCCTCGCCCTCGCCCCGCGACAAATGCACCGGCTCTGCCACGCACTCGCCGTGGATAGGAGAGGGAACGGGGCGGGTAAATGAACGGGAGAGGGGGAAAGGAGGAAGGGGGGGGAGGGGGGGGGTGGGTGCTGGTGGTGATGATGATGATGATGTTGCCAATGGGTGGCAGAGATGTGGATTGTTCCAGCTGCCGTCATGCTGATGACGGTGGCAGTGCTAGTGATGGTGATGATGGCTGTTACCATGCCACTGATGCTCATGATGCTCAAGATGCTCATGACAATGCTGGCGACATGCGCATGCTCCAACCTGCTCTAGTGAGGTGTTTATCTGCCCGTCGCTCAAACCCATCGGCCTTGCCCAGCCCGCCACCACCAGCGCGGGGCGTCGTGCTGGGCACGCCCTTGCCCCCAGCCATGTCAAAGTTCACGCGCTGCCGCCCCGCCTTGCTCTTGCTGCGCCCCAGCGGCCCCTTGTGCGCCACGGGCGCCCCTCCCTCCCCCTCCAGCGTGTTATTACTATCCACCCGCGCCATGCCGTCTCCCCCTGCGCCCCCCCCCGAGACAGATCCGCTCTTGAGGCGCGCGGCCTGCTCCATCTTGGGCGCGATGCGCGGCGCCAGCGCCATCATCAGCGCCAGGCGCGGCGGGCCGTAGAAGCGGAACTTGAGCTGAATCAGCGACAGCTGCCCCCGTAGCAGGTTCTGGGAGGACGGGGAGGACGGGGGGGGGGGGGGGGGGGGGGGGGGGGGAAGGGGAGGGGAATGTGGGAGAGAGTTGGAAGAGGTGAGGTGCGCGGTGCTCATGAGCTGGATTGGGAACAGCTGCCCTCACAGGAGGTTCTGAACGGGAGGAGGGGGAAAGGGGGAGTGATCGAGGGGGGATGTGGAAGAGTGATGGAAGTGAGTAGGCGAAGGTGGGGGGGGTGCAGCACTGGCTGCTGGTAGCATCAGTGCATATGCTTGCACTGGCTGCTGGTAGCATCGGTGCATATGCTTGCACTGGCTGCTGGTAGCATCAGTGCATATGCTTGCATTGGCTGCTGGAAGCATCGGTGCATATGCTTGCAGTGGAGGATCCATATTTGTATCGTGACAACAAGAAACGACCCAGGTGTGCGCTAAGCGAACCAGCCGTCCCGGTCACTGAGCATGCGACTCTTCACCGCAATCGCTGAACCGTCCCCCATCCCACCATCCCACCCTCCCTAGACCGCACCTGGCGCTTCTCCCGGAGCCCGTGCTCGCTGGCGAGGTGCAGCAGCATCTTCCACGTCTCCTTGTCCGCTATGCCCAGCTCCACCTGGGGAGAAAGGGACGGGGGGGAGGGGGGAAAGGGAAGGGGGGGAGGGGGAAAGGGAAGGGGGTAGGGGGGAAAGGGAAGGGGGGAGGGGGGAAAGGGAATGGGGGGAGGGGGGAAAGGGAAGGGGGAGAGGGGGGAAAGGAAGGCGGGGAGGGGGAGAGGGAAGAGGGGAGGGGGGGAAGGGAAGGGGGGGAGGGGGGAAAGGGAAGGGGGGGAGGGGGGGGCAGAAGAAGACAGCGTGCGGGTGGTATTGTGATGATGACTACGCAGAAGCAGGCAAGGGTGACATATCTTCTAGAAAGGGAGCAGGCAGAGCACGGTGGACGTTCAGAGTGGAAGGTTTGGGGAACGGGAGGGGGAGAGGTGGGGTGGGGTGGGGGGGAATGGGAGGAGAGAGCAGGCACCATGTGGAAGGCGCAGGCCTTGAGGGTGAGCATGACCATCTGAGAGTAGTTGCCAAACGAGCTGCGGGGGGTTGGGGGGGGAGGAGGAAGAGGAGGGGGATTGGGCACATGAAGAAAGCAGCATGCAGATGAGGGTAGTGCTATTGGGGTGGGGATACGATTGGCGGGATTGCATTGTGGTCAGCGGATGAAGGCAAGAGCGGCGCAGCATGTTAAAAAGGGCTCACAAGCGATCAGCAAAAGGTGCTGCAAAGGGGTGTTGAAAGGGGGAAGGCGGACGGAGACGTACGGAGAGGAGAGTGCGGGGGGCGAGAGAGGGAGAGGGGGGGGGGGGGAGGGGAGGGTGTGGCGTACTCTTCTCCGAGCTCCTGCATGCGCTGCTCAAACAGCTCGTCCCACAGCCTGCACAGACGGCGCGAGGGGGGGGGGGGGGGGAGGAACATGGGCCCAGGGCAGGACAGAAAGAGATCCGATTACTGTATGAAGGAATGCCGGGTTCTGACTCGCTCAACCAATCAGCGTGCACCGAGTGGGAATGTCCGCAACGCATTGCTGGGAGAGTTTTTGCCTATGAGTGTTCGACAGCGTGGCCGGGACTCACGCCTGCGAGTGCCAGACGTGCAGGGAGGAGGACTCACGCCTGCGAGTGCCAGACGTGCAGGGAGGAGGACTCACGCCTGCGAGTGCCAGACGTGCAGGGAGCCCAGATAGCGGCGCATGAAGTCAAGCATGCCGAACTCGTCGCGGAAGTAGATGCGCCCCGCCATCTCCAGCAGCCCCCCCGCCACCTGGTAGTCCCGCCGCTCCCCCGCCCGCGATGCCGCCACCAGCGTCTGGGGAAAGGGAGCACAGAGGGTTTGAGCACGTGGGCATGAACAAACAACGAGAGTACAGCAGCCCATCCCCCCAAGCGCCAGCACCTGCAGCCCCCCACCACCTGGTGGCCCCGCTGCTCGCCCCGCCTGCCAGTGCCACCGCTACCAGCATCTGAGAGGAGAGGGGGGAGGGAGTGGAATTGTGAGGGGCAGGGCATGGGAGGAGTGAGTGAGAAGGGAGATGGAAGAGAGTGGGCGACCTGGGACGGGGGGAGCGAGTGAGAGGAAAGATTCGGGATGAAATTGAGCGAGCTCCTCTACTCCGCCTCCCACCCCGTGCGCTACACCATCACATGAGGCCCTCGCCCCACGCTCTCACCAGCTCACTACATGCCTTGAACATCGCGCGCATTCTCGACTCATGCCCTTGATCAGCTCATGCATCCCACCGCCCCATGCACCCCATCACCCCATGCGTTCCACCACCCCATGCATCCCAACACCCCATGCACCTCACCACCCCATGGATCACAGCACCCCCGCCCACCAGGCCCTCACCAGCTCGCGGCACGCCATGAACATCTCGCGAGTGAGCTCGCCCGACCACCCCTGCACACACACACACACACACAGGCCGGCACGCACGGGAGCAGCGACACAGAGGAGGGGGAGGGAAGGTTGTGGAGCTGAGCACGGAAGACAAGAGAAGACGGCGAGAGTGCGGCGGTGGCAGCGAAAGCGTGGTGAGTTGATGGTGGTGCCCGGGGGGGAATGCGGCAGACGGCTGGCAGGTGAGCGCCGCACGCAGGGAAAAAGACGGGAAGGGGAGGCTGGGGCATACGATGGTGATGTTCTCCTCCAAGCACGCCAGGAAGCTGGAGCCCCCGAAGCCCTCGGGGTCCGACTCGATCATGCCTGCACGCACGGACACAGGGAGGGTTGCAAGTGTTGAAGCTCCAGGATGGACGATGCAGCGTGGGAAGGGGGAGCGAGAGGAAGGGGTAGCAGGAGAGGCGTGGAAAGCGGGTGGAGGGGGTGGTGGGGCGAAGAGGGAGGTGGGGGGGGGGGGGGGGGGGGGATGGAGGGGGTGCTGGGGGGTGGAAGGGGTGGTGGTTACCATAGATGGTGCCGTAGTGCTCTGACCCCATGGGGTGCTCGCCCGGAGGTAGACTTCTCAGTTGATCCCATAGTTGCTGCACACATGCACATGCACACATACACGCATAGACATGCACACATGGATACACAGGGACAGGTTAACCAGTAAGGGTGGCAAACGAAACGCTTTAGCTAAGGGATGTGGTGCAGCAACGGGACTTGATGGAAACGCTCGACAGGGATGAAAACAGCCGACAGCCAACAGGGATGACGATAGGAGGGATAGGGAGGGTGGAATGGCTGGGAGAGAGCGGTGAGAGATGGGGTGAGAGATGGGGTGAGGGGGTGAGGGGCAGAGCACTCACACAGAGCCGGACTTGCGTGTCCACCTTCATCATCTCCCTTTGCGCCTGCCGCCGTGCGCCCCCATGCCATCACGCCGGGGAGGCACGCAGGGAGTGAATGAGGCCGAGGAGAGATCAGGTAGGCACGCAGGGGGTAGGTGCGGCCGGCAGGAGGAGATGAGGCAGGGGAGACAAGCGAAGTGAGAGACCAAGATATGCAGACGAGGGAAGGAGGAGAACTAGAAGGATGCTGCTCACTCTTAACTGACTGCACTCCCCCACCCCTTACATGCATCCCTCATCGCACGATTTTTCTTCCCTTAATCACAGCCCTCTCCCTTTCCCCCACCAAACCCCCTCCCAACGGACCCCTCTCTCCTTGGAGCTGCGAGTGCGGCCCAGCCGCCTCTCCTTGAGCCACGCCCTCATTGCCGTCTCCACTGCCTTGCTGCGCGCCACAGCGCACAGGCGGGGGGCGGGGAGGGGGGGAGAGGCAAGGTGAGCAGCAGTGCATGCACACACGGGGGAGGCAAGTTGAGCAGAGCACGCGGCAGGGACACAGGGGGGAGGTGACACGCACAGGGAGGTAGAGGGGGGAAAAAAGGAATGGGAGGAAGGGGAGCGAAGGGGGGAAGCGGGGAGAATAAGAGGGATATGACCAAGTAGGGAAGGGACGGTGGACGAGAGGGAAGGGAGGGTGGACGAGAGGGAAGGGGGTGGACGAGAGGGAAGGGGGGTGGACGAGAGGGAAGGGGGGTGGACGAGAGGGAAGGGGGGTGGACGAGAGGGAAGGGGGGTGGACGAGAGGGAAGGGGGTGGACGAGAGGGAAGGGGGGTGGACGAGAGGGAAGGGGGGTGGACGAGAGGGAAGGGGGGTGGACGAGAGGGAAGGGGGTGGACGAGAGGGAAGGGGGGTGGACGAGAGGGAAGGGGGTGGACGAGAGGGAAGGGAGGGTGGACGAGAGGGAAGGGAGGGTGGACGAGAGGGAAGGGAGGGGGACTAGACTGAACTCAAGACAGCCACTGTCGGACGCAGGCCTCTTGTGCTCTCCAGGGCCTTGGGAGGAAGCGAACCGCACATCCCAGCAGTGTGCAGCGGAGAAGGCATCGCAGCAGTTGACCCCCCAGGTGACCCCCTAGGCAGACGACGCACCTTCTGGCCTCCTGCTCCCCCCCTGCCTTCTCGTTGTTGGGGAAGCGCTGGTACACATAGCGCCCCACTGCACCCCGCTTCGCCGCTGAGGTGGGGGAGAGAGAATGGGAGGGGGAGCGGGGTGGGAATGGAGGTGAGGAAATGAGTCCGAGTGGGAGTGAGGTGTACGCATAACGTGTCCCAGAAGCTCGTGTAGGAAGGTCCCCGGCGGTGGAGCACAAGGAGCGCAGCAAGGACAGCGCAATGCATTGCGCTGCAAGAACAGTATTCAAGGTCACGTGAGGACAACACCTGGCAGCGCATGGGTGTGAAGCACCTGGAAGCACGGGCAGCACCTGGCATTGCGGACAGCACCTGCCAGTGCGGGCAGCACCTGCCATTGCAGGCAGCACCTGCCATTGCGGGCAGCACCTGGCATTGCGGGCAGCACCTGGCATTGCGGACAGCACCTGGCATTGCGGGCAGCACCTGGCATTGCAGGCAGCACCTGCCATTGCGGGCAGCACCTGGCATTGTGGACAGCACCTGGCAGCGCCTGGTAGATGTCGACGGTGAGGAACTCAGAGGGTGGCAGCGTGGGCAGCGTGATGTGGGTATCCTTGTTGTGCGCGCGCTGCATGATGGCGTCAAACGCCGTCTCCTCGTCCGGCGAGTGCGCCACCTCGCACTCAAAGAAGTTGTGCCACCCCAGCGTGGACAGCATGGCCTCGATCTGGTAGAGCAAGTGAGGGGAGACCGGAGGGAGAGGGGGAAAGGGGGTTGGTGGGGGTGAGAGAGAGGGGGTGTTTAGGGACGAGGGGAAACGTGGGAGCCAAAAGGAGAGTTTACAAAGGGGGCAGAAAGGCGCACGTACGAATGGCTCGGTGGCGTGGTGATGGCACGTACGAATGGCTCGGTGGCGTGGTGATGGCACGTACGAATGGCTCGGTGGCGTGGTGATGGCACGTACGAATGGCTCGGTGGCGTGGTCGTAGAGCTCGGAGCGGCGCAGCAGAAAGCTGCTTCTGTCAAACACGAGCTTGCCCGCCTCAAAGTGGTCCTCGATCTGCCATGCGGCGCAGCACAGGAGGGGGAAAGGAAGGGGGTGGGGGGGCGGGGGCCCGGGGGGGAGGGCGTGAGAGGGGTGTGGGGCATGACACATGAGAGCGGGGAGCGGAGAGGGGAGAGGGAAGGGTGTGAGAGCGGGTGGGGCATGGTGGATGCACGGCAAGGCCGCAGCTGCAGTGGTGCCTTGGGTGTGCAGACTGCAGTGTGAGCGACACAGAGCGCAGAGGGGAGGAGCGCAGTGGGGAGGAGCGTAGTGGGGAGGAGCGCAGTGGGGAAGCGCAGAGTGGCAATTGTGAAGGCAGGGCAGCAGGCAATGGTGCATGGTATATGGTATATGGTGCATCCTGTGTGGTGGATGGTGCACGGTGCATGGTGCGTGGCGTGCGTACCACAAAGTCCTTGTACCCGTGCAGCACTGACGCCAGGAAGCGCAGGAACAGCTGCCTGCACACGGGGGCCATGGGGGAAAGGGGAGCAAGGGGGCCATGGGGGAAAGGGGAGCAAGGGGGGCAAGGGCAGCAGCAGACGGACGGGAGCATGCAAGGGCATAGCGGGGGAATGGCGCAAGCATGGGTGGTTGAGACGAAGGGGGGCGCAACAAGTCAGAATGGCAACGAGAAGGCACGCTGCAGCGAGGAGAACAAGAGCAAGGAGGATACGAGCAAGTGCTCCACCTGAACTGCTCGTCGTGGTGCTTGCCCCACGTCTTGAACGTCTTCTCGTCGAACTGCTGCACGCCAGCAGCCAGCAGCGGCGAGCGGTGGTGGCGCACCGACTCCAGCACCGCCAGGTGTGGGTGGATCAGCGCGTGCAAGGCGGCTCTCAGCTCCGACGCCTCGGGCTCGGGGAGGGCTGGGATGTCCTCCTCCTCCTGCTCGTTCTCCATGCTCATCATGCGCACGCGGTTGGAGTCCAGGTCCACCAGCACCACCTGGGAGAGGTGGGGATGAGGGGAAGGGGGGGGGAAGGAGGGATGAATGGGATCACGGCAGGCAGGAGATAGAAGCGCTCTCCATGCTCATCTTGCGCACGCGGCTGGAGTCCAGGTTCACCTGCACCACCTGGGAGAGAGGTGGCCGGGATGAAGGGTGGGGCGAGTGAGGCCATGTTGAAAAGCAGAGGGACCACCTGCGCCAGGGAGGGCGGGCAGGCGGGCGGGAGTTTTGCAGGAGAGGAGGCGAGGGTTGCAGGGAGATGCCTATGTGCTGCACAGGGGCCTAGAGGGATTGCAGTGTGCAGCACACAGGGGGGAGCGAAGCAACCAATTCCCGGTGCGGGTTTACTCACTTTGGCCCCCCTACAACTACAACTCGCATCCCTCTGGCTGGCGGACAATCACCCTCATCTGGCAGCTAAGCACAGTCATCCAACGGCCATCCCCCTGGCTGCACTGACCCCGTCGAGCTCGTCCTGCAGCTCAAACTCGGCGGTGTTGATGCCGTAGATGAAGATGCCCGGCGCGTGCAGCAGTTCCAGGAGCGGCAACGGCAGCACCGGGATGTACGGCAGCTGGGGGGGGGGGGGGGAGTTTGGGGGGGGAGGGAGAAAATGGGGGAGGGGAGAGGGGTGGGTGCGTGGGTGGGGTTTGAGGGAGGGAGGAAAGAGACCGTGGGGTGGGGTTGAGGGGGGAGCGATGGAAGATAAGTGGAGAGGCCTTTCATTCCAGAGAGAGATTTGACTTTCGCATTCAGCATTCCACACCACAACGGAGACGGCATCGCTGGGAAGAGAATGCATGTGGTGCTTGCTTGCCTGACACCCCTCTCCATGCGTCCCTGCGTCTCACCATCCACTTGTAGGGGTAGAGCAGCCCTGACACCGCCTCTGCCACGTTGGTCAGCAGCTTCAGCCTGAGGGGAACGCAGCAGAAGAGAGCATAGCATGGCAGGGCAGAGCTGGGGATGGGCATGGAGACAAGGGGCTAATACAACGCTCAAGGCTGTGCTCATAAGCAGAGGCACTCGTGCACTCGCATGTGAGAGTGGAATGGGAAACTCACATGCCACCCAGCAGCAGCACTCTCCTCTCCAGCAGCACGGCTGTGAAGAGCTGAATGATGTTGTCAATATCGAGACAGCTCACAAGGGGGAGAAACGACACCTGAGGATGCACGAGAAGCGAGAGACAGAAAAGCGGAGAAAGCTTCTAGAGGGCTGCAGCCTGCAATGCTCACAAGAGCTGAGAGCACTGGGGCACTTGAATCCGCATGCACCTATCTTTAAGAGCAAAACAGATGCTTTGATTTAAAAAAATTGTTGCTCCAATGAAGAAGACAGGGCCACGGCAGTGTGTGGGGGGATGTGAGGTGGAGCGATAGGGCGAGGGGGCACGGACGTGGTGGGAGGGGAGGGCGTTGGGGTCGGGCAGCGTGGTGGAGAGCACGACGCTCTCCACGCTGAACACCACCGTCTGCTGCGGCCCCGACGGCAGCGGCACCGACATCACCCCCGCTATGATGTCCCAGATCGGCCGCCTGTGACGTGACATGCCATGCCATGTCATGTCATGTCATGTCATGTTATATCATTATGCCGTGTGATGTGATGTGATGTGATGTGATTTGAAGGGATGTCATATCATCATGCCATGTAATGTCATGCCACCACATCGTAGCACTCAGGCCAGCACAGGTGCGATGCGATGCAATGCGATGGTCAGTGAGACAAAGAGGGGAAACATGGACAAGTGATGCAGCAGCCTAGAGCGCCACATGCAGCCGCTTAAGAATGCCATGGAAAAGGGCTCAAAGGGAGGCAGGCAGCGAGGGACTTACAGCTTCCCAGAGACGGCAACGACGCCGCATGCACTGGCAGGGCAAACCACGGGGAAACCTATGGGCTGTCAGGGATTTTTTTTTTTTTTTTTTTTTTTGGGGCTTTAAGGAGATCCCAGGAGGAAACCAGGCCCCCTTTCCCACGCCGATCCACCTGCGAGCCCCTGGGGGAAACCCCCTAGCGCCCGAGACTTCACCCGTGTTGCGGAGGGTAGGCGGTCCGGGCTGGCAGTACCCAGCATGTGCGGTGCTCCGCAAAAACCCCGCACCGATCACCGTTGAAGCGCGTGTCAGGGAGGAGGGGGGAAAGAGAGAGGGGGGAACTCACGGGGTGGGGGGACAGGGCCGGGGACTCACGGGCTGCCGAGGGGCTGGAAGGCGAGGCGGTGGAGCTCAGTGAGGAGGTCGGCGAAGGTGTCGAGGAAGGGGTAGTGGGAGACGACGCAGAGGCACTTGTCGGCATAGGAGTTGGGCGGGATGGAGTACGCCTGCGCCACGTCGTCGTCCACCAGGTCGCGAAACGCCAGCACCGACACGTACACCTTCGTGCCGTCGCCCTCTGGGGGGGGCGGAGGGCGACCAGTCGAAGAGGAGAGAGAGAGGGAGCGGGCGGAAGTTGAAATAAGACATGGAGCGGCAGAGATTCTAGAGCCATGGAAGGCCAGGTTCGAGCGCTGACAGTAGACGCGCGAAGCTTCGCACTGGCACGCATGTGAGGCGAGGCCAACTCGCGCACGGGCAGTGCTTGGCACTCTGACCTTTGCGCATGGACGAGTGAGTGCGGGTGTGAGGCGTGGATGAGAGGGCAAAGGGCTGCGGGTCCGAGAGGCGTACCAGTGAGGATGATCGGGTAGGAGCGCGGGAACGACAGCGGCTCGTCCTGGTTGGCGCCGTGGCTGTAGAAGCGAAGCCCGCCGGGCAGCACGGCCTGGGGGCGGGGGGGGGGGGAGCAGGGGGAGACGGGAGGGGAAAAGGACCAGAGACGGACGTGGACACGCGGAGCCATGGAGTGCAGGCGGATCCAAGCGGAGAGTGGAGCGCTATTGCTGATGAACACGCGGCCATCGCCGAATGCGGATTCCGCGAAAAAGGCGCCACCGTTCCGCAGACCAGAAAGGTGCAACGCAACTTGGTCTACGCCTGGCAGTCTATTATGGTATTTAGGGCACGAGAGCATGGGAGCCTAGACAGTTGAGAGGCTATCGCACCAGCGGAAGCATTTCCGGGATCTTGAACTTCTTGTGGTCCTCGGCGGGCAGGCGGTCGATGAGCACGGGCATGTAGGAGATGCGCACGCCGTGGCTCTTCATGCCGTGGAACCCACGCGTGCCGTCCATCAGCCGCAGGTCCAGCCCCAGCCCGCACACCACGAAGTAGTCCACGAACCGCGTCTTCCATAGCGGCCCGTCCGCCACTACAGCTGGCGCCGCCGCGGCTCCGGCTGCAGCCGCCATCTGCGCTGCAGCCTGCGCGCACTAGGAAGGAATCGACTTGGCGGAAAAGAGCGGGATATTTATGTCGGTAAAGTAATCGAATGCATCCCTAATGGGGTCGTTTGGGAGCTAGAAAAGGCGGTTTCGCCATGTTTACGACGAAATGCCGAGGCTCCGAGCGACGGAGCTACGTCCTACCGAACGACGTCGTCATACGGAGAGTCAGAAATGCGTAGACGATCGCCCAGATGATGAAAATTAGTGTGCTCGCGTTGGAGGCCTCGAGTGCGTCGGACTAGTCTGCAACACTCTCCGCTTGTACGTATTAGGTATGGAAGATTGATGGCATAGATATTGCTGGGACTTGAGAGGGGCTGGCTGGGTGTGGAACGGCAGATAGGGGGCAGGCAGTGAGCGTATAGCGGGGTGAATCTCGTGTGACAGAAGGCAGATGGGTTGGTGAGGAGGAGGGGTGTTGCTGTAAGGGTCAGCGAGTTAGCTGCCAATTGGGGAGCATGGCGCGAGAATACTTCAACCGGAACACTCAACAGAAGCTATGCGCATATTGGCATTACAATGGCCCTCATTCATGATGATTTTCCTAAAAACATTTAGCCTTGTTTTTTGGGTTGCGGAGCAACTTATTGCAATCGATTTACCGGAAATGTTTTTTCATTCTAAATTGTTGAAATATACTCGACAGAGTTTACTTATGTATTCCCGATATAGCATTTAGACTGTAATAGTGTCGCAATACCTCATATGGAAGGATGCGCGTGATGACATCAGCAGTAACGAGTCAATACGTGAACAGTAGGTTCGCGCTTATAGTCACCCGAAGGGTCACGCCACTCTCAGTCACACGAACAGTCACTAGTCATGTCACGCGAATAGTCGCGATACACTACGAACAGGTACATTCCGAATAGGTACTTCCTAGACTATAAATATATCTGTATTACTCATTGTTATTAATCCTTATCATTTCTGACATTTCCAATACAAGGTGTAAATGTTAAAGCTAGTTAGATAGGTAGGGGAGAAGAAGCCATGGAATGGCGAGAGGTTTAGCTAGGAGAGAAAGTTACGAGAGAAAAGAGAGATCGAGAATAGAAGAGAGAGGGATACAAGGAGGGGTGTTGTACCCTCTACGATTATATAACATATATAATTTAACACATCCCCTAGGCTTGATAGTAGAAGAACCCACACACGCAGGACACTAAGCCATACCCACCCCCTAATTCTAGCACCCCCATACTCAGCCACAGCGACAGCTACACCAGCTCGGTCGACCCCTCGGTGCGTAAGGCGGCGATGTCGACCGTAGGGGCTGCGGCGGCAATGTCGACAGCGGCGGCGGCGCGGCGGCGTGCGGTTGCGTGGCCCCGACGCAAGCGGCGACAACGGCGGTGGCGTGCGGCTGCGTGGCCCCGACGCAAGCGGCGACAGCGGCGGCGGCGGCGGCGCCCGCACCTCTCGGTGGCGTGGCCAGGCCCCGCGACGGTGGGACGGCCGGCGGGAGTCAGCCGTCGTCTGCGGCGAGGAAGAGGACGCAGGGGAAGGGGGGCGGGGCGCGGTCCAGCCTCACGCCCGTGGCTGGCGTGCGGGCGGCAGTTTCGGCGACGCCACCGACGTTGTGCGGCCGGCTGCCGCCCGACGACGCCGACACCGTAGCATTACGACGCTGCCACAGCGCGGCGTCGATGCCACGGCGGGACATCGACGCTGCGTCGGCAGCACGATGCCGTCGCAGCGGTGTGGTGTCGACGCCACACGTCGGGGCTGCAATGGCAGCACCACGACGCAGCAACGACTGCTCGGCATGGCCGCGACGGTGGCCCGGCAGGGACGAACGACGAACGAGTACGCGGCAGAAGCGTGGGGAGCAGGCTTGGGAAGGGCAACCTGCTCTGTTACCATGTCAAAGCTAACCAGATAGCTAGGGGAGAAGAAGCCAGGGAATGGCGAGAGGTTTAGCTAGGAGAGAAAGTTACGAGAGAAAAGAGAGATCGATAATAGAAAAGAGAGGGATACAAGTGTCACAGGATCGAATGTGTCGAGGAAAGGTTTGCTCAATGTTGCATTATCAATCAGTACAAGGTGCTTTTATACGTCCAGAATACATCAGGTAACCAGGCTTATCCCATCCAAAGGGAATAGACCCTTCTAGAAATAGAATCACCTTGCGTATAGCCACGCGAGGCTATTGGCTTTAAGGGATAACGACAGGATTACGCTAGATATAGCGCGCCAGTATATCCCGAGCCTGGTCGGTGATATAATTATAATAAGAGGATAAACCAAAGGATAATGGAAAATGAGGAATAGGAAACCATATGAGATGAGATAAAGACCAAATGAATCAGGATAAAAAGAGGAATGAAATAGAAAGGAAATATGGAAAAGGGAAATTGGTGTAACGGGGTCGTACTCTCACAACAAGGAGGGGTGTTGTACCCTCTACAGTAAGTTTCAGTAACGCCTACCAAGCCTACAATTATGTAACATATATAATTTAACAGTAAAGTCTTCCGCTGACTTTTACTCGTGGTTCCACCAACTCCAGATCCTGGCCACCCTAAACACGTGGTTCACTTCTACATGGTATCAGAGTTAATGGAGTTACATGAACTAATATAAGCTGATTTTGATTACGCACTTAAGCTTAAGTCATAGATCTATAATTATATCATCTACTAAGACAGGAAATTCAACTACGAAATCTCCTACTTCTGGTCTTTCTACTGACGATCTTTCTGACTTTGCTTCCCTGATGGCTAATCAGTCTACTTAGCAACAAGTTCCAGCGCATCCTACAGCTTCTATGAGCCTTGATAACTCTAGTTATGCAAAGGGTTGCTGTTGCCGCTAGGCCTTCAGGCGCTGGAGATGAATCTGTTGGGTCTTTTGCCTTTCATGGGCGACCTGTTCAACCACATCAACAATAACAACCACATCAGCAACAACATCAAATGGCAAAAGCAAGACCATTCGCTGTTGAAGCTAGCATAAATCAAGCAGATTTCCTAACTATCTCTTAACTGAAGACCTCAACTTTCTTTGATGGCCGCGACTTCTATACTTCGGGATTCGAGTTCGAACTCCTCGCGCAATCTTCTGGTATCTGGGGATAATTTGGCGGTACAATCCGTTATCCAGAGACAAGAACGATAGAAGATCAAGCGCGTTATCACAAATATTCGCTTATGGCCTACACACTACTGGTGCGGAATCTCTCACCTGAAGAGCAGTTGGGAGTTCGGTGCTTCAAACCTTCACTTGCTCCAGCCTTCTATGCTTGGGACTACCTGCGCAAGTTATATCAAGCACAAGATTCCGTCACACTGAGCAAGCTGTTACGTCAACTTACAGCAATGCAAATGCTTCCGGGAGAAAAACTCGGGAGTTACATCAACAAGTGCAGAACACTTTTGGATCAGCTCAGCAAGTGCGGAGGAAACCTCAGCAACGAGCTCTTTGTCACTATCCTTCTGGCTAGACCAAAAACCCGAATGGAGGCAGTGCAAGTCCCTTCTTCTTTCCCAAGGAAACATTTCAGAAACTTCACTTTGCGCTACTCTGATGGCAGAGCAGCAGGAATTGGACTTGTACAACGCAAAAGGAGGCAAAGCCAAGAGTGAGTTAAGCTTCTATACAGGTGGATCAAGTCAAGAGGAGCCGACAAAAGGTGCATGAAATCAATGAGAGCAGACAAGAAAATAAGAAAAGGGCTTCTGCAAGTGTTGCAAATGAGAAGGTCATAATATTGAAGAGTATCAGAAAGTGAAGAGCAGGAATCGGCAGAAATCGGGTGAAGTCACCCCTGTCAAGACTGTCTCGCCGCCTTTAGCTTCTTTAACTCAACTCGCAAAAGGAAAAGCAATTATTAATTGCATGATTGGACCACACTGTCCTAGTGGTATACGCTACTAGAGCAGACGAGACAATGACAGCGACAGTGATATGGAAGAAGGAGCAGCCAACCCACCTCCACGTCTTCGTCCTCGTTCAAAAACTCGAAAACCTGCAGTTATGAACGAAGAAGAACCATAGCAGCCGAACGGGTTTCCTCGATGGCGGAAACGTGCAGCAGTATGCCCATATCGCCAAGCGTACGTATCTCGAGCATGTTAACACTTGGTTTCTTGACAGCTGCTGTGGTCACCACATGGCATCTTCAAGTCAATATCTTCTCAACTGGCGAGACCTGCCAAACGGAGAGAAGTACAACATCACAGTTGCTAACAATCAGGTTATTGAAGCAACCAGAATTGGATACTCGAGTCCGACGACACAGAAATTTCACTTTACCTGAACAAGGTTCTTGTCGCCACGGGACTTGGCTTCAACCTACTATCACAAGTGCAGCTGATGGAAAGCAGCATCTGTTTCGCCAGCACCGCCAACACGATGCTCACGGATTTGTACTTGGGCGACAAGAAGGCAGACAAAAGTAATTTAGTCAACATTGCAGAAATTAAAGACGGTGTTTCCGTTCTACGGTTTTCACCTGTCAAGGCATCTGGCGACAGTGAGAAGAACATCTCACTTGCTCCTTGGCATCATCACTGGGATACAGATCTTCAACGCCAAGACCATCGTGGTCTCAATGTCTGCTGCATCACGCCTCAACCTTCTCGCACCAACTCCCTCGACGAACCTGCAGCAGAGCCAACAGAATCAGCATCAGCAGCAGCAGAAACAGTTCAAAGTACATGGGCATCTGGAGATGGAAATTGGGGTTACGATAATCAAGAACCAACATCTGCTACAGTCAAAGAACCTATGGAGGTTGAACACACATGGGGCAAGAAAGAGTTCATCGTACCTGATGCTTGGGCACGTCGCCGACATCTCGACATACCTTGGGTTGAAACTGCAGAAGAAGCTTGGTTCATCCAGCCTTCCGGCAACGGCCACTGTGTTAACTCTGCGCCAACGATTCATTTTTCCCCGGCCTTCTTCCTTCACTCCGACGTGTACCTGCGTTCAAAGGGACTCAGGACTAAAGCAGAAATCTGGCACAAGCGGTTAGGTCATCCCTCGCAAGAAGCCTTCAACAACTCGATTAAAGCCTTGGTTTTCGACAAGGACGTACTCCTTCTAACCAACGGCCAAGAGCTTCGACCTAGCAGTTGTCACCTACCCTGCACCATCTGCCCCGGAGCTCACCTAAGTCATGCTCCATTCCCGTCGCACTTTCCAAGTGCTACTAAGTACTCACATATGGATGTCGTTTTCAGCGACATACTCTTCATGCCACAGGAAGCAGAAGATATCAGCGGCAACAACTACCGCTATATCATTACCTTCATCAACGGTGCTACTCGATAC